GGCTGGTCTCAAAGTCACAGGAACCCTCCTGCCTCAGCCCCTCTTCCTCCCCCTCGTGCCAGGATTACAGGTGTGTGCCACCATGGCTGGTGTAGTCAGAATTTTACTCAGAGAAATAAAGTGCAGAGCCTCCACAGGGACAGAGGCACCTTGTGGCCTTGAGCTGAGCATATATATGGGGATTTAGGGTGTTTCTAAAATAGATTATCTAGGATGTGTATTCTAGTAAGACTTTTTTTTTCCCCTAAAGATACATGAAAGTTTTAATTCTTCTGTGTTTAAACCCATGTGTCTGTCCTCTGTTACTTAGAAATGCCTTCTCGAGTTAGCGCCTGCCTGGCAAGTGCAAGGTCATGAGTTTGATCCTGGGTACCAAAAAAAAAAGAACAAAAGAAAGAAAAAGGAATTCCTTCTCCATAGGTTATTTTGGGTGTGTTCTACATCTGTCAAAATCAGAAGAGATGTAACTCTCATATTGTATTCAAATTCCCTAAGAATATCTACTTTGATACTGTGTTAATAATTATTCTCTTTACTGAATTGCAGTGGCCTTTGAGGCCATCTCAGTCTGGTTTCTGCCCTCCTGACAGCCTGGTGTGGCCTCTGTCCTTCCCCTTATGCCTGGCCTTGCTCTGCTGTGCTGCTTCCAGCACATCCATCCTTCCTTCCAAACTTAGGCTCTTTATCTCTTCGCACATGTAATTCCTTCTGTCTGGACAGTTTCCCTGCAGTGCCCCACACCCTCCCAGATCTGGCGGGTCTTTTACTCATCCTTTCGGTCTCTTTTCAAATAGTGTTTGTGCAAGTGGCCTTCTCTGACTACTCCTCCATTATGAGAGATCTTGGAGTACGTCTCATGATTTATGATGAGAGAGCTGTAACTCCCTGGGGTCCCTAGTGTCTGGCACATAGGAGACATTCAGTACATATTTACCAAGTGAGTTATAGCCTAATTACTCACTAAGGTTGGCTACATTTTTCCTTTTATAAAATTTCTTTAGTATTTTAGATTTGCACCATCTAATATGGTGGTCACTGGTCACCTGATGGTTGAGCACTTGAAATGCAGTTTGTCCAAATTGCGACATGTTATGTATAAAATACACATCAGATTTAAGAGACTTAAATATGCAAGATGGAATTTAAAATGTCTCATACCTTTCTAATCTAGTACTGATTATATGCTGCAATAGTGTTATAATGGGCTAAACATATTATGAAGAAAGGGGCTGGGGATTTAGCTCAGCGGCATAAGCGCCTGCCTTGCAAGCAGGCAGTCCTGAGTTCGATCCCCGGTACCGATAAAAAGGAAAAAGACAAAAAAAATTGTAAAAAACGTATTATGAAAAAAATTTTTTTAACTGTAAATATTTGCTAGGTGTAGTGACTCATCCCTGTAATCCCAGCACTTAAGAGGCTGAGGCTGAAGGATCACCTTGACTTTGAGGCCAGCCTGGGCTACGTGGTAAGTTCAAGGCCAGCCTGAACTAGTTAGTAACACCTTCTCTGAAAAAAATGAAACAAAACAAAAATATTTTATTTTATTTATTTATTTTTTGATACTGGGGATCGAACTCAGGACGTTGTGCTTACTTAGCTCAGTGGTCCCCAGCCCAACAAAACAGAAAGTAAATATTAGATAGGCTGGTGGTAGAGTGCGCTGCCTAGCATAATAAGCCCTGAGTTTAATCTCCAGCACGGTAAATAAATAAATAAATAAATAAATGCTGAAAAACCATTCATTTGTACATGTGGATTCTATTTCTATTGGTCATCAGCGCTCTTTGACTCTTAAAATCATTTTGTTGCATTTCTAACAACATTTTCCATTGGGCTACATTATATTTTTAAATCCAGTATAGAGGAAGGTGTCTATCCGTATAGAACTGAATCTTCCAGCCAGCATGTTACAGTTCTTCACTTACATAGTTTTGCCCTCTGTGTGTGAGAGTGTGTGTGTGTGTGCGCGCGTGCACACACACACGTGCATGTATGTCTTTTTGAGGCAGTGCCTGGCTCTGCAGTTCAGGCTGGTCTTGAGCTCATTTTGTAGCCCAGGCTGGTCTCAACCTTGCAGTGATCCTCCTGCCTCAGCCTCCCAAGTGCTGGGATTATAGGTATGCCCCACCACCTCTGGCTTGCGTCATTAAGGTAACCTATTTTTCTTCTTGTTGCCCCTATTTATCCTTTGTAGGTATTGTATAGTTCTTGTTGCTCTATTGTTGATTATAACTTATCATTATCTTCCTTGGTATTTTTATGTGCAGTTGTTTTTGAAACCCTGAATTTCTCAGATCCTGATTCTAACAATTAGTGAAAATAATTTCTTTTCACTTGTGTTTTCTATGTAAATTGTCATATTTGCATGTAACAGCAGTTTGTCTTCTTTTTTTTTTTAAATGGCTGTGTGCTTTAATTTTCTCTTGTCTTGTTGCTTTGGCTAGAAGTTCCAGAACAATGTTAAGTAAGAATAGTGAAGGTGGAAAACCTCGTCTATCTTCCAGCCCCTGATGGCAATGCCTTTACTAAAGTATTTACCAGAATGTGCTCCAGGGAACACTAGTTCTTTGGAATATTAATGTGTATACCTTGAGAGAAGAGATCCACAGTTAAATGACTTGCAAACTGGTGAGGTAAACAGAATGCTTGTCTGCAGAACTCTTCAGATGGGGTATTCTGCTAATGCATTTTTAATCACCCCGGGGTAAGATATTGGGGCTAGCTTGTGGGCTTGTGTTATGTTGAATACGTTTTTTTGGGAAATGCCGACATAGTGTCGGCATTTTTTAAGGATAATGGTTGGTTTACAATAGACACTTTATTATATTAAGGAAATATTGTTCTATTCCTGACTTGCTGAGAGTATTTTTCTCTTACTCTGAAATGACATTTAATTTCCTTAAATGGATTTTGGCATGGTACTGCTTTGGTCATACAGGGTTTTTCTCCTTTGACTTTCTGATGCCACAGATTATATTTGTATATTTCCTAAAGTATAGTCATCCTTACATTTATGAAGCAACTGTTTTTAAAGCAACTATTCTTGTTCATAAAGTATTCATTTAATATGTTGTATTTCCCAGTAGTTCTGCTAGTACTTTAAAACCTACTTAGATAAAGGAGACAGTGTTCCTCTTTATGCTATTTGTCATCTTCTGGTATCAAATTTGTACCAGATGAACTGAGATGCTTTAAATGTTTCTACATACATCCAGAACAGTGTGAACGGCCTGAAGATCATTTGTGCCTTAGCACTTCTGTTTCTTTTTTATTTAGTTCTGCCAATTTATGTTATGCTAAAAATATGTCCATGTCATACAGATTTCAAATTGATTTCAATCATAAGTCTAGGACAAATAAAGACACAGTATTTCTCTTTGACTAACATGTCTTAACTCAAATTGTGACATGATTTTTTAAACTTCTGGTGTGTTATATCACTCTAAATGATGGGCCCTTTCCTGTAAGCTTGAGATTGACTGTATATCATCTAAAGTTTTTCTCTGATTACAAATTTCTTCTCTATTATTTTCTTCCTTTTGGCTTAATTTGTTGTTCCTTCTGTAATCTGAGTCATTTCACTTATTTTTTAAAGATAACACTTTAAAGGCTCTGACTTCCCTATTGCAGTGTTTGTTGTTGATGATGTTTTCTAAGTCTCTAGGATTTCATTATGGAAAACTTCAAATTAATCAGGAGTGGGACACACTCAGTCTGGGATTCACTCCCAGAACTCCTCAGGGAGGTTGAGGGAGGAGGTTCTGCCAGGAAGCATGCTTTCTCTCACAGTGGCACTGGCAAGTTTAAGCCCTGCTTGGGCACTTTAACACTTCAGTGAGACCTTGTTTCAAAATAAAATTTTAAAGGTCTAAGGATATAACTCAGTATGTAAAGTCTCTGACTTTAATCTCCAATACCAAAAAGCAAAAACAAAAAAAATTCCAACGCCCCAAAAAGTTAAATTTTACAACACTCAAATACTCACCCTCTTGGCCTCCCATCACTATTAACATTATATTATGTTTGCTGTTTTATGTATCTGTCCATCTGTTGTTTGAAGACATTCTCAAGTAAGTTGAAGACAGAGGTAAACTTCACTCTGGAAACTTTCTTGCTAGAGATTCCTGTTTGATTTCTTATTTCTTAAGTACTTTTATTCAATTTTGATTTTTCTCTGAATACTTACTAAAATTTTATTGGTTTAGTTTTAAAATCTAAAAAATAAAGGTTAGATCTGGCTTCATTGTGATGTGGTCAGAGAACGGAGGCTGGGCTTCATGTGCTTGGGCGATTTTGAGTGAGCCCTGGCCACAGAGGCCAGCCAGAGGGAGCTGAGCTGCCCTAGATGTGCTGGTGCTGTGAGCGCTGGAGCAACGTGCTTTTGATGTGCCCATCGCTCTTCCTATTCCTGGTGTCTAAAATAACTCTTCACTGGAAGGGGCTGAGCACTGCCGTGCTGTATGAAGGTGTGCAAGGCTGGGGGAAAGTGCAAAGCAAGACAGTGCTGCAAGAGGTTCTCTCCATTCACTGTGTCCAGGGAGGCAGTATTCTTTAAAAAATGCCACTTAGAAAGGCAGGATATCTGTTAGATGAATTTAAGGGTTTTGTGTTTTGGGGTTTTTTTTTTTTTTTTTTTTTTTTTTTGGTTGGTTCCTTTGGTTTGGTTTGGGTTTTTTGGTTTTGGGTTTTTGGGTTTTTTTTTTTTTTTGTTTTTTGTTTTTTGTTTTTTTTTGATTCTCAAAAGTAGATAAGGAGCTGGGTGTTTAGCTCAGCAGCACAAGCACCTGCGTGGCAAGCACAGGTCATAGGTTCAATCCCCAGTACCAAAAAAAAAAAAAAAAAAAAAAAAGTAGATGAAACAGGGAATATTTTTCCTAAAGGAATGCCAGTGTCACAGTCACAGCTTAAATAGCCCTAGTTGTGTACAGTGTCTTAATTTTGATCAAAATGAATGTTGGGCAGTAATAAAATGGGCTAATTATTTGATTATTTGGCTTTAGGTGAATTAACCGAAGCATGAAAACTAAAAAATAAGCAAGAGGAAGAATGTTGAGGCAGACCTTGGGAGGTATGATAGCCAGCATTGGTATTGTGAGCCTGTGTTTGTGCCGCTGTGCCGAGTGAGGAGTCGTAAGTGAATGATGAAAACTCTGTCTCTCCGCAGATTACGCCTCATGTCAGTAGCAATGGACAGCAGCAGTTTTATTCAGTTCGATGTGCCCGAGTACAGCAGCACCGTTCTGAGCCAGCTAAACGAACTCCGCCTACAAGGGAAACTATGTGACATCATTGTCCACATTCAGGGTCAGCCATTCCGAGCTCACAAAGCAGTCCTTGCTGCCAGCTCCCCCTACTTCCGGGACCATTCAGCATTAAGTACCATGAGTGGCTTGTCAATATCAGTGATAAAAAATCCCAACGTGTTTGAACAGTTGCTTTCCTTTTGTTACACTGGAAGAATGTCCTTGCAGCTGAAGGATGTTGTCAGTTTTCTGACTGCAGCCAGCTTTCTTCAGATGCAGTGTGTCATTGACAAGTGCACACAGATCCTAGAGAGCATCCACTCAAAAATCAGTGTTGGGGATGTTGACTCTGTAACCGTAGGTGCTGAAGAGAATCCCGAGAGCCGCAATGGAGTGAAAGATGGTGGCTTCTTTGCCAACCCAGTTGAGATCTCCCCTCCATACTGCCCTCAGGTACGGCAGCCCACCACAAGCAGTGATCTCCGGATGGAGACGACTCCCAGCAAAGCTTTGCGTGGCCGCTTACAGGAGGAGGGGCACTCAGATCGGGGGAGCAGTGGAAGCGTGTCCGAGTATGAGATTCAGATCGAGGGGGACCATGAACAAGGGGACTTGTTGGTGAGGGAAAGCCAGATCACCGAGGTGAAAGTGAAGATGGAAAAGTCGGACCGGCCCAGCTGTTCAGACAGCTCCTCCCTGGGCGATGACGGGTACCACACTGAGATGGTTGATGGGGAACAAGTGGTGGCAGTGAACGTGGGCTCCTATGGCTCTGTGCTCCAGCATGCGTATTCCTATTCGCAAGCAGCCTCACAGCCAACCAGTGTATTAGAAGCTTTTGGAAGTTTGAGTAATTGCAGCCCATCCAGGTCCATGCTGAGCTGTTTCCGAGGAGGGCGTGCACGCCAGAAGCGGCCTTGGTCTGTCCATCTGCACAGTGACCTACAAGGCATGGTGCAGGGGTCTGACGGCGAACATGTGATGAACAACCCTGGGTATGAGAGCAGTCCCCAGGAGAGGAGTGTAAAAGGTCATTGGTACCCGTACAGTGAGAGGCTGATCTGTATTTACTGTGGGAAGTCTTTCAACCAGAAAGGAAGCCTCGACAGACACATGCGACTCCACATGGGAATCACTCCCTTTGTGTGCAAGTTCTGTGGGAAGAAGTACACAAGGAAGGACCAGCTGGAGTACCACATCCGGGGCCACACTGATGATAAACCATTCCGCTGTGAGATCTGTGGGAAGTGTTTTCCATTCCAAGGTACCCTCAACCAGCACTTGCGGAAAAACCACCCGGGTGTTGTTGAAGTCAGGAGTCGCATTGAGTCTCCCGAGAGAACAGATGTGTACATGGAACAGAAACTAGAAAATGATGCATCAGCCTCAGAGATGGCCCTAGATTCCCGGATGGAAATCCACACAGTTTCCGATGCTCCTGATTAAGATGGTAAAGAAGTGCACCCAAACAAAGCACATTAATCAATGCATATTTGTGATTTGCTTTGTTGTAATCTTTGGTTTTCCCAGCCATCTGGAAATCTCTTGGTCTCTTGGCAGTTTTTCTGAAGTTTCTGGATGGAACACTTCATTGTGTTTATCCTTCCCCTGCCCTCTCTCCCCCAAGGAGCTCAAAGCATGAAGGGCAACGTATCCAGGGAAAACATAGGCTGACAGTATTCCTCTTGGGCTGAACTCTGAATCCCAAATCTGCCAGTGATTTAGCTATGCCAACTGGTTGACCCTACACTCTCTGCCAAGAGGCATACTCTTCCTCACGGCAGGCACTGGCATCAGCCATCAGTACCTGCCTGTGGAGAGAGGCCAGGATGCCGTCAGCTGATACAAATGGGTAACCTTTTCTAATTTAAAATTACTTTTAGAGGGTAGCTAGGCAATTTATATATATATATAATAAAACAATTATTATATATAGTATATATACATTCTCAAATTTGAGTTTATTCTGGTTGAGGTGAATGTAAGAGGAATATATAATTTAATACAATGTGAACAGAGTTTTTGACTCTGTCTTATCCCTTCATAATAAGTTAGTTTTACCGTTTTGTTTCCCTCTTGGAAGAATGTTAGTAGGTTTTCATACATATAAATCATTGTGTCCAAAAGCAAGCAAAGCAAATCACATGTTCATAGCTCTGCTTCATAACAAATAATACATAAACCAAATGCCATAAAATTTCTTCAACTCTAGTTGGAAACCGTTTGGGATTTTTGTTTGTTGTCCAGCAGATAAGCTGGATGACCTGTGGTGCTGACCTTTTTACATAGTGTAGTGTTATATTAGCCAACCCCAAAGGAGCAGTGGTTTTCGAGGTTTTTACCGGCCTACAGATCTACCTTCATTCCGTACTGTAGAAACATACATACCAGGTAACTAAATCGAATCACTATCTATCATGAGTTAGGACTCATACTAAAGGAAAGGGATTTGTAGTTTTGTCTACAAAATTCTCCAAGCAGTGTTGTGGTTTATTTTCCCTTTCTTTCTCTTTCCAAACAGCCAGTTCAGGTGCACAGCAACTTTTTCTACATGCAGTTCCCAGGGAAACTGCAGAACTTGGAATTTGTACTTTTGTAAAGCTATACTCCATGGGAATTGCAAGCAATATATCTTAGTATTGTGTGTGCTAATGAGAGCCTCAGTGCTCCCGCACTCTCAGTGTTTCCTGCTTAAAGAAACCAACAGTTCAAAGCCCTCTAAGATACTCTGTGTGTCACCAAATCTCTGTGTGTGTGTCACTATATTTTTGGTCACGTGGTGCTATTTTTATGTTAAGTATCTTCTAGGTCAGTATAGTTGTAGAAAATGTGAAATCTAACAGTAATAGTGAATTGCGGTTATTTTCCTCTCTTGAGTTTATAACTTGAAAGAGACCTCAAAAGCATGTGCTAGCAAACACATTGCTGTGTGAAAACATGCCCGAGTCCTGTCTGAATAATGCTTTATTAGTGATTTAAGGGAGTCTTCAGTTGACCTTTGCGTTTGCACGTACAACACAGGTTTGCTCTGGGACTGCGGGCTCTGGCAGAGGGCAGTTCTGGAAGCCACTGGAGCACCTGCTGCAGGCTGCCTGTGGATGTGGATGCGGATGCTCCAGTCTCCGCCTGGCAGCAAGAGATCTGAGACCCACACCCAGCGCATCCCTGAAAGAAAGAACCAAAAGGCCAGCCTCAGGTGCTAGGAGTTAGAAATACAAAGATAGGCATTTGCTGGCTTTCCATGCTTTTTTGGCTCTCATGTACCAAGAATGGTTGGTTTGAGAGATATTTTTGTGTTTTTTGTTTTTTGTTTTTTTTGAGAAAAAAGAATCAAGCCCTCCATGTGTGATGGCTGGTGGCGGCTGTGCAGTAGCACCTCCTTAGCACACAGGACCTGTTCACGTGTGAACGCTGCGCTACACATCAGTGTTAACTCCACATAGATTGCATTCTAATCCCGTTGCTCCTGAGGAGCAGCGCTTGCTAAATCGGGTATATATTATGCCTTTTCCTCCTCAAACTGCCTAAGTGGGAGTCTGTTCTCTCTCTGAAGCACTTGTTCAACTTCTGGTAAAGCCACGTGCCTCAAGGGGAGACTGGACCCCAAGTGTTTACCCACTTAAATATGTTCTGGGGTTTCAGGTAAATGTTTGTGGTTTTTTTTTTTTTTTTCTTACACAAATAAGTTTGGTTTTGATTTTTCTTTAAAGAAGTAAATGCAAAAAATTTGTGTTGTGATACAAATTAAGTCTGTGACAAGAAAGGCCCAAACCCTAGGACATGAGGGGTCAAGCTCAGGGAAGGAACCTCCTTTTCACTGTGGCTCGGGGCCCCCTGCAAGGCCACCGGAGCCTTCTGCAGTGTGTGCAGCACGTGAGGAGGAAGAGCACTTGGGGCAAGCACCTCTGCGTCCTGGTTCTTGTCACTGTGTCCGTCTGAACCTTAGTTACATGGAGTTCTTGTATTTGTAAATTTGTTTCTCTGGTTTGAGTTTACCAAAGAGTGACTTATCCAAAATTGTCGTTGACAAAAATATACATTGCTTTGATTGTACAGTTCAGGTTCAAACATTGTAATGGGACTGTTAAGGGGCAGAAAATTGATTGAGTTTCTCTCTAATAATCATGATTCCACATTGTGCAAGTTCCACTTGCTCCCATTCGTGTTGCTAACACTTTACCCTTTCCACTGCTAGCAGTGTTAAGAATGAATTCTCAAGCCATAACACAGTACTGTAAGTTCCGCAGGGCTTCGAGGGAGGCAGCGCGCAGGCCAGCACAGAGCTGTGTGGCCTCTCAGCATTGGCACTGTCAGCCCCCCAGTGGGCGTGATTGGTGAGGGGCTCACGCCCTTCAGATGGGCAGCAGCAGTTAATTGTGCCTTGCCGCAAGAGGATGTGCCAGGAGGATTTACCTGACCGCAGAGCAGAAACATTCTCTCCCTGAAGTTCATGTCACGTCTCTGCAGGCGAAGTATGCTGTGTAACTCAGAGCAACTCTTTTTGGAAAGCAAAGTCCCTATTTCTGTACAGTTTTAGGTTAGGTGTTTCATTTATAACAAATCAGAAATCAGTTAGGATAAAGTGATCTGTGAAGAAATCTTTTACAGTAAAATATATCCTGAATTCACATGGGCTTGTTCATAATTGAGTCTCTTCTTGAGCTACCTTTTCCATTTCAGACAATGTGAAAACAGTGACAGCATCCTTTCCTACCCATGTTTAACTGTTATTAGAAACTGTGAAGACAAAGAATTTTATACTTGTACTAACGTTTGTGGTTCTAAACAGTTACTTTCATTCTAATCAGTTCTCGACCCTCTTATTTCTACTAATGCTGTACATACATTTAGAAATTATATTTGTAAATACAGTATATGAAGACAAGTTAATTTTTTGGTCAGTGGAAAGCCTCCCAGCCATTGGCTCTGCCTGGGCAGTTGTTTAGTTTTTGTTTGGTTTAGTTTTTGTTTTTTTAAAATAGCAGAAAGGATACTGTCAGTTCACTGTTAAGCAGAATATACTGTACCTAAAATGATAATTTTTAAATCTTCCAGAGCATAAGTATATGTCCCTTCTAATGATAGCAATTATAACCAACTCTGTCTTTCCCTTAGCCCAGACCATAGGCCTGCATACTTTGATGTGTGGTTTTATTTTTACTTTTGTTTTTACAGTCTGGAGTCTGGGAGGAATGTGCAGGAACACAAAACAAGGGCTGGGGGAAATCATCTATGTGAATGAGCTTTACTTTAAAGAGATCAATGTCTTTAAACAACTTTTTCCTATTTGTTACTGTAATACTTTTGTTGTTATCATCGTCGTCATTATTGTTAAATTCTGTAATGGTTTCCTGTGAAGCCTCCACTGAAAGGGACTCAAATATGCAACACCTAAACTATTTTCCAAGGGCACATGCCCCTTGAATGGTGCTTCTAGACTGGTCAGGGTTATTTATTAAATTTTATATATGAAAGTATTGGGGAATTATGTAAATTCTTTATATGAAACTATCTAGTTCATAAATCATAGATTTCATATTACTCAGTGCAATTGAACTGAAAGTTCAGAAAAGTCATTCACATTGTTCCAGATTTGTAACGGTGTCACACATCACGTCTTTTCAGTAAGTGCCAGAGCGTTCCCACTGTTTCTGCCCAGTGCTTGACTTCTTGGCCCAGAAGAGAACCTGTTTTCTCCTGTTCCCTCCCTGGGTCTGGCACCGACAGGGCTATTGTTCTTGCTCAAGTCCCCGAGTCAGCGAGTCAGCTTCGCTTGGTGCTTGGTGCTCCGTGGAGCAGATTCAGTAAACAGACCTCTTGCTGCCCCTCAGTGACAAGTATGCTGTGAATTCAACCTTTGGACTTGCAGCCCAAGCCTCAGGTTGCTGCCCTGAGTAGAGTAAGAGGTAACCTTACCTGGTTTGTTGGAGAATGACCATTTTCCTAATGTGAAAACCATCTCTCACCACTTTTATTAGTAGGGCTAACATTGTTTTCCGTTATAAATGGTTGAGCAATTTGAATGACTTACACAGTGTCATTATCTTGCAATATAAACTGGTAACCTCACAACTCCACACTTCATCACCATATGAAGTAAATGAAGCTAGCTAAGCGGATGCTGTATCAACTAGTAACTTGCCATTAAGGATTATTTTGTAGCATGGATTTAAGACTATTTATTCAAATGATATTTTACTCTCGTATTCATTTTGTTTTAGCTTTGTGACATGAATATTTCAGTGCTGCTTTAATTTTGTTCTGAATTCTTGTTTCTTGCTTGTAAATGGCTTTTTTATGGTATAAAGTCAATGGAAATTGCTGTTTGTAAATAAAAATGCTGCTAGAGCAACTGTGCTGTGGTCGCCTTCTGTCTTCACCCCTCGTGGGCTCCTCGGCTTTCCCCGGCTCTGACAAACATCTGCTGTGCCACAGTTTCACTAACCACTGTTTGGAAGAGCTGCGATTTCATAAGAACCTCTCATGTCACTGTTGTGCTGAGGAGGAAGAAGCAGGTGTGTTTCTGATCTTACGAGGCCAAGAACAGCTCATGGGGGGGCCCCAGCCTGTGGCTGGGCCGCCCCAGAACAAATCTTGGTGAATCCTCTGCCACTTGCCCACGGAAGTGCCCCTGTGGCGCTCTGCAGTGTGTCTTGCCTAGTCAGTGCTGCGGTGGAGCTCGCAGTCACATGGGCTGTTTCGTCTGTCTCAGCTACTTAACTCCTCCTCTAGGTTCCAACACCGGCCTTTTTTGCCCACAGCAGCTCTTCTAGGTCAGGCTCCTTTGTAAGAGACTTCCATTGGCGCCTGTGTTCCTGCCCGAGAGCACTTACTTCTGTTTGTAATTGGATATTCACTACTGGGATTATTCATTTCACGTGCCCACAACCAACTGCCTTTCAGCTCCTGTGACTTAGGCCTAACCTCACACTCTTGGGCACCTGTAGCACAGGCGCTGGCACCACCACAGGTGCTCCGAGGTGAGTGCACGTCAGGTGAATGAGCAAACCTGAGTCTTCTGGAGGACTGAGCAGGCGGTGGGGCCCGGCTGCAGGTGGGGGATTCAGCTTGGTTCCCAGGTCCTGCCGGCTGATTTGCCGCTTAGTGGTGAGCCAGGCTGTGAAGCAAGTTCTCTCCCTCCTCCAGAGCTCCAGTACAGACAGGTGACAGTGAGATAGTGTGATGTGGAAGGTTCATGCAGGGACCAGAGTTACCTGTTAGCCGCATCCCAGGATTCCCAAGGAAGAAGGATGGGTGTGATGAAGAAAGTGCATCCGGTTGTCTGGCTTCTAGCCCTGTCTTTGCCTGTCCTTGACCTTAAGTCACAACCTCTGGAACCCCAGTTAACTCCTGACTCAGGTGGGTTCTGATAAGATTTGCTTGTTTCCTTGGGCTGGAACAGTAACCCGACATCAGGAGGAGGGGGGGCAATGCTCTTCTCCCGAAGGACTGAACGAAAATCCAGGTGAGCCAGGTACACCAGGTGGGAGCTATGTGCAGACTGGCCTGGAGTGTAATCGGCCTTCATCTCAGTTTCATCCAATTGTAATTCATACCATTGTCAGCCAAACAGTGTGGCTTCAGGGATGTTTTAAGATGCCCTTTCTGGTATCAGAGAAGGACCTCTTGTCCTTCACTGCCTGCTGGGTTTTGCCCATCATTTACTTGAAAGCTGCTCAAACCCCAGTGATGTGTACCTAAACTGTTTCCTGTGATGTCTGCCTTTGGGGTTTCTCAGCAGGCCTGCCTTGCACGTCTTTTACCAATGATTAGGGCTCAACAACTCAGAACAAAGCATCAGTTAAAGACTACCATGAAAACATGGTAGAAAAACAACGGCAACATTTGAGGCATTTGTGGAACCCAAATTGCTGTGCTGCAGTGCGTGGGGAATTCAGATAGTAAAGCTTGCTTTTCTGGCTCTAGTTGGTCAGTTGAGCACACACTGTTGCTCCAAGGTGATGGGGTTTGTGTGTATAACAGATGCCCTAGGAACTAACGTGCAGGGCCCACCCATCTGCACCCCTAGAGGGTAAATGGGTTCCCAGACTCGTGTCCCTGCAAAGGGTATGGGGAGCTGCTCCTTTTGTACCTAGGCTTGAAAGGAGCTTCAGTCTTAACAGGGCATGGCCTGGGAAAGCTACATTCACCTTGGGGTTGGCTGGTGAGTGTGCCCCTGGTTATAGACGCAGTGAGGCCCTGCACCCACAAGGTCCCTTCTCCCTGAGGGCTCAGCTTTGATAGTCTAATCTGCCCTGGACACTGCTATTTGTTTGTATTTTGAGACAGGGTCTTACTATGTACAGTAGTTCAGGCTGGCCTTGAACTCTGTGTATCCCAGGCTGGCCTGGAACTTGAGGTAACCCTCCCACCTCAGCCTCAAGAGTGCTGGGGTTATATGCCCAGCTCTTCCTTTTGTCCAAGATTTGCCCCTAGAGGTTTTCTTGGGTCCTATAGTGCCCACTATGAGCAAGTGACTGTAGGGCCCAACCCTCTGAGCCTCAGGTATAAGTTGTATGTGTATGTGGTGTGTGTGAATGTGTGTGCACATGCAGTTTTAAATGGACAAACGAGGATAAGTCATTTTTGCAGGAGATAGTGGGTTTAAGACAGAGTCCTGCTATGTAGTTTAGGCTGGACTTGAACTTACTATGTACCTCAGGCTGGCCTCAAACTCGTGGTAATCCTCCTGCGTCAGCCTCCAGAGTGCTGGGATTACAGATGTGTGCTGCCATACCTGGCTGAGAGTGAGTCATTTCGAGTTCTGTCTTCCCCAGAGTGCTGGAACTTTCGTAATGGAAAGGGATCTCACAGGCAAGCTGTGTCAGTTCTAGAACTCTTGCAGTGGGCCGTGTCCAACATCTCCAGTTCCTGCTGTGGGAAACAGCTGCCTCTCAAGGAGCTGTGCACATTTGACAGCTCTCCATGATGGAAGTTCATCCCTGTACTGAGTTCCACATCTGTCTCCTGGGGCCTGCACCGTCAGTCTGTCCCCATGTGGCTGCACTGTGTTTAATGTGCTGTGACAGTGTGCTCAGGCCCACTCTGATGGGCTGCCGTAGGCCATGTGAGACCCTAGGACACTATTGTCTTCACAGAATTCTAGGCCACTGGGACTTGTTTTCCATTTCTGCCTCCCTCTCCTTCCATTTCAGGGTTTTAACCAGCATGACTGTGGGACTTATTTCTTGCAGAACTTTGCAGGAGCTGAAGTGATAGAATCCGTAACTTGGAGGAAAACTTCTTTGGCAAGCACATTGCTTTTTATAACTTCACTGGCCTGGATGACTGATGTGTGTAGATGAAACATTATGTGTGATCTATCCGTCACACATCTGGGCTCCTGGAGCTGACTTCAGAAGGTTTTCTAAATGAGTATTTGTCTTTAGTTTTGGTTTTTAATTTTTTATTTAATTAATAAAATAATTTAATAAATAATAATAAGTAAAATAAATTATTGCCATGTAGCCCAGACTGGCTGCTGCTGGGATGGCAGGCGTGCGCCACCATCCGAATGATTTTGTCTTTTTTCCTCAGGGCCTTCATGTGCCTCCCTTACTCTGTGAGTACTAATGTGAGAGTTGGAAGCCGGCTATCCCTTTGACTTCGGGAGAGCTGGGCTCTGAGCCTGGACTGTAGCGTCTGACTCCCGAGGCCTCACAAGATCGCTTCAGAGCTTCCTCCCCTTTGATGGCTGATCTTCTCACTCTCAGGGTGCCCCGGCTTCTCCAAAGAACTGGGCCTCTGGTCTGTTGCAGCTGGGAAAGGGCTTCCTGCCTCGCTGTGTGTCTTTGCACAGCGCAGGCCTGGGAGCCTGTTGCGGTTTCATCCTCTCTCTTTGCACACTTCTCCATGTGTGGGCCTCTCTCTCTCCTTCTTGCCTTTTGCACCCTGCCCTGGTTGGTGGTGCAATGGGAATGTTACTAGACTTTCCTAGCTGAACTACCAGTTCCCTTCTTTCCCTCCACTGCACCCCCGCCCCGAGCCCCAGAATGGGCCCCCTGCCAACCAGGCTCTGTTGAAAGGCCCTACTTCCGGCTGTGGTTGGGTGACCAGCTGCAGGCCTTGTGAGATTAGAGACTTCCACCCTGGAGGTGAGCCCTGTGCCTCTGTCTACAGTTGTACCCAAGTCATTTCCTAATAGTGTCAGGCAGCATCTGGATGTCTTTGGCCTGACGGAAAGGGGTGGTCTGCTTGCTGGAGCCTGTATGTGGGTAGGTGAGACACAGAGAGCCTCACTCATTGCCTCTAGAGGGCTGGTGGGAGTCCAGACACAGGCAACCCTGAGAACTCTCAGAGCTTAGGGTGTTCCCACCTAGGACTGGCCCTGACCCCTCAGAGGGCCACATTCTCAGGTCCTGGAGGGAAGAACTCAGGCGGAGCCAGTGAACACATCCTGCAAGTGGAAGCTGAGAAAATGTTCTGGGACTAGCTTTGAGGACCTTTGAGAACCTGTATCCTGCTAGAGGGAGGAGGGACCACAGGGGACCCAGTCTGAGTGGGGAGGACCAGCTAGGTAAGAAGGGACAGGATGATGAAACTAAAGTTCAGCAGGATGAAATAGTTAATTATAGAAAAAATGAAACAAGCTACTTATAACAAGAAGGAGGTTAAGCCTCATCTGTGTTTGCAGTGGAGAAGATATTTTTGATGCAACAAGAAATTCTAAGGGGAAGAATAGATTTGAACAGATTTGACTATAAACAATGTGTTCACTGAAAGCAAAATAAACCATAAAAACAGAAAACTTAAGTTTAGGAAAAAAACTTAAGAACAACTTATAAGAACAACAGCTTTAAAATTAATAAAAAATGAATTATCCGCTTTAAAAAAGGGGATGGACATAAAGCAATCTGCAGAAGGAATAAGACTAATAAATGCACAGGCAAAACGTTTTACTTCCCTAGAAAAACAAGGAAAGCAGTAACAAGAGTCTTTCTTTCTACAGTGTCCAGTGTTGATGTGGGTAGGGGAATAGGAGAGTCATACCCTGCTGGGGGAAATCTAGGCTAGTATAACATCTTGGGAGGTGATTTGATACATTTCAATTTTTAAATGCTTATTACTCTTGTTACCAGGGAAATACTTTCAAGGATTCGACCTAGGAAGACTCTCAAGTCAAATAACTGGATGTGTATGTTTATCCACCTCAGTGCTGATGATAATATTCAAAACTTGGGAGCCACTATAATACCCATCAACAAATCTGGTACGTTCTTTCAGTGCTATCCTAGGGAGTCATTTAAAGCAGCATTAAGAAACTGTGAATAAGCCATGACACATTAAATGTGGAAAGCAGTTTACAAAAGAACATGTGTCAAGGGCCGGGGATTTAGCTCAGTGGCGTAAGTGCTTACCTGGCAAGCGCAAGGTCCTGAGTTTGATCCCCCGTACCACAAAAAAAACAAAAACAAAAACAAAAACGTGTCACGTGAGCCTCGAGCCTCGGCTACAGCACAGCCTTGTATGTGTGACATGCCTTATATTGTGTGCAATGGCTCTGTATTTAATGTCTACACATAGCTATTTTTCATTAAATGGGATAATGTGTTTGAGATAAGACAGTAAATACCTCATAATTTCTGGGATTTAGGAAATAAGGGTGAGGGTGGGGGTGCCAGGTGTTGAGGTGAATTGTATTTTATTTTAAGCTAAGAAATGTGGATTTTAGCCTGTGGCCATGCGGAGGCAGTAGAACTCAAGGCAGTGAAGACTTCTGGGCACCTCTATAGACTATAAATTTCCCAGTTTAAAAAGTTATCTGCCCTGGGGCTGGGGATTTAGCTCAGCGGCATAAAGCGCCTGCCTTGCAAGCAGGCAGTCATGAGTTCGATCCCTGGTACCAATAAAAAAAAGGAAAAAGACAAAAAAAAAAAAAAAAAAAAAAAAAAAAAAAAAAGTATCTGCCCAGAGTACACTGCTGCAGAGAGCGAGGTTTGCTCAAGGCAGGGTCAGCAAATCAGCTTCGCCGGGTGGGTTGCCTTGTGGATTTCACCAGGGCCGGTGCTGCCCTCAGCCTAGCAGACCTGGAACCCTACCTGTGGAACACAGGGAAAGCAGACCTGAACCTCCTACTGCCTCAGTCACTGAGTGTAAAGACCAACATACAGCACCACAGTGATCAGAATGCCACCATGTGAAACTTTTATGAGCTGTAAGTGGAATGCTGCAGTGTAACATTTAACACACTGACCTTAAGCCAGTATTGCCAGTAGAGTTAATATTGATGGCTGCCTCTTACTAAACATTTAACGCACGCCATTAAGTATTTTTCATGCATTGTTTTCTGCAATCATCAGAATAACTCTCTGAGGTAGTGCTGTGGTTTGTACCTAAGTGTTCCTCATAGATCCATGCATTAAAAACTGAGTGCTGATGAGGGTGGTGATACTGGGAGGTGCTGTGGCTCTTTAAAAGGTGGAGCCTAATGGGAGGTCCTTAGGTGACTGGGCTGTACCCTTGAAAGGAATTATGGGACCTCTCCTATCCTCTTTCTGGTCCCTGCTTCAGCTTGAGATGTGACCATTTTGTTTCCCAGGCACTCTCCCATGATATTTCCCCTCACCAGAGACCAAGCCTTGAACCACCAAAACTGCAAGCTAAGTAAACCTTTTTTTCCTTCACTTTTTTCTTTCTTCTAATTTAATTAGTTAATTTTTTTTTGTCTTTTTTGTTTTTATCGGTACCGGGGATCGAATCACGACTGCCTGCTTGCAAGGCAGGCGCTTATGCTGCTGAGCTAAATCCCCAGCCCCCAATTAGTTAATTTTTGATACCAGATCTCACTATGAGGTTTAGGCTGGCCTTGAACTCACTATTTCTCCCAGGCTCACCTCAAAAGTGTAGCAATCCTACTGCCTTAGCCTCCTTAGTGCTGGGATTACAGATGTGCACCACCATGCCTAGCGACTTTTTCCTCTTTATAAAGTTAACTTCTCCAGGTTTTTTGTTGTAATAGTACAAAATTGACTGAATCAGATAGATACGACTATTAATCTCTTTCACAGAAAAAACAGACTTCAGAGATGGAAGAAATTGATCCACATCATATAGCCTGGAGATGGCATGAGGCTGGTGTGATTTCATAGTTTGGTCTGTCTTCGTAACCAATATCAGTTATGAAGCAAACTCGTACCACACATTGGGGACACAGTGGTGAGCAAACCTGACACAGCCCAAGCCCTCCTGGAAGCCAAGAGTTCAGTGGAGAACGTGAGTCATATGGTCACAGTGACATGTAATTCAAAACACAATGAAGCAATGGTAAAGGGAACCATGAGATCTTAAGGCAGGGGCACCTGACCTCATGAGGATGCTGGAGGAAGTGACACCTGAGAGAAACAGGATGAGTTGCATTTAGCCAGATGTCTTAGATCACTTTCCTTGTTGCCCAGACCCAATGCCTGACACCCACAACTAGAAAGAGGAGAGTTTTATTTCGGCTTATGTTTTAGACATTTCAGTCCTCATGTGGTTGGATGCTGCGGTGGAAGGGTCTGGCAGAAGAAAGCTGCTCACCTCATGGTGGCTGGGAGGCAGACAGTCAAGGGAGACACAGCCTTCCAGGTCACATCCAAAGTGACCCATCTCTTCTACCCAGACACCGCCTCCTCACAGTAAGTCAGCTGTAATACCCTGGGAACCACTCACCTTCTGGCAGCCCCACCTCTGAACCCTTGAGGTGTTTTGGGGGGACGTTTGGACACAACCATAACAGTAGGTAAGGCAGGAGAGGGAGAAGAAGAGCATTTCAGACAGAGGAAGCAGCATGGTCAGAGGTCTTGAGGCTGAAGAACGCTGGCTTGTATAAGAAGCTGAGAAAGGCCAAGGTGGCTAAAGAACTGAGAGTGACCGTGATATGCTTGGAGGACACGGACCTGGTATTCAGCACTACATTTCTCGTGAAAACCTTGGTAACCAAGCAACCCTCCTTCTACTAGATCCTTCTTCTTCCCCAGAAGTACTGAGGCCTGAACCAAAGGACTCATGTATAACCAGGCAAGTGCTGTACACTGAGCTCCATCTCCAACCCTCTATGAATTTTATTTTAAGGGAGGCATGGTGGTCCATGTCTGTAACCCTGGCACTTGAGAAGGTGAGGTAGAATTTCCAAGCCCCACCTGGACTACAAAGTGAAACCTTTTCACAAACAAACGAACATCTTTTTAAAAATTTGAGACAAAATTTCACTAAGTTGCCCAGTCTAGCTTTAAAAGGATCCTCCTGTCTCAGCTTCCTGAGTAGCTGAAATTATAGGCAATGTTCTTCTTCCTCCCTTCCTTCCTCCTTTCTTCCTTCCATTTTTTTGTACCAGGAATCGAACTCATGACTGCATGCTTGCAAAGCAGGTGCTTATGCCGCTGAGCTAAATTCCCAGGCCCCTTCCTTGTTTTTTGATAGGACCTTGCTATGCAGTTCAGGTTGGTGTTAAACTCACTATGGCTCCCATGCTGATCTCAAACACACAGTGATCCTCCTGTCTCAGCCTTCTCTGTTCTTGGATTACCGGTATATGGCACCACACTTGGTCCTTTCCTTCTTTAGACTGATCAAACTTTTTTTTAGAGAACATCAAGTATTCCTGGGCTGAGAGTCAACCTGTCTCTTTAAGATGTCCTTGCGTGTCTTAGTTCTGATTTCTTCCACCTGGAATTGAAGTTGAAGTTTCAGAGAGCAGCTCTTGTGGTCGTGTTTCAGGAAAGTGCCTCTTTCTAGCCACACTGATAATACAGTCCTCAGTGCTGGGCTAGGCACAGGGCCACAGAAGTGTCCTCTTTACAGTTCCTGTCCCTGCACAGCTCACAGTCTTGTGTGGAATTTAGATTCAAAAAATCATTAGTGATTAGTTACCTAGATGTATGCTTTTGTCAAGATTCATCACAGTACATTTAAAGTGAGGACATTTTATTTTATATGAAACATACCCTAATAGAGTTGATTTTAGAAAACACGTATATCAATATGCAAAACTTGGGACAAAATTACCATCTATTGTCCCAAATATTAAGCTGGGCTTTCCTTCCAAGCTTCTAGATCCTGATAACGCCAAATTTGTTTTCTTTTTCTGTCCCCACCCAAGGATTGTAGCTGCTTTCCAGTTATTTTCTCTTATAGTTTAGTGGTGGTTTTTAATCCTTTTCTCAGACCTTCAATACACGTTTGACCCATTCCCTATAATAATTTCCCCTGCTAAAATAACTAGTGTGGTTTCTGTTTTCTTGGCTGGACACTGGTCTCTCAAAGCTGAGTTTCTAGGATGGGTTTGACTGGGCACCTGGTCTTGAACCACTGCCAACCTGTCTGCCATGAACAATGGCAGGCAGGGAATCTGTAGCCTACAGCAGCATCTTAGCTGATTAAATGCTCATCTGAGGTTGGTTTTGATGAAATGCCTACTGAAGTACCGTCTTAAGAGACCATGTGGCCAAAAGATGGTAGGTAGATAACAGCTGGCTACAGAGGCTCTCTGAGATAGTCAACTTAGAATTCAACATAATACAGCGTGGGGAGCCCCAAACAGAGGGAGATGAATTCTCTCGTCTCAAGAAGAAACTAAGGTGAGAAGAACCAATCAAACATACAGTCTCAGTGTTACTATTAGAATAGCTAAAGGATCAGTGCTCCCGCGGCAGTGGGCAAGTTACCAAGCCGTCTGAGGTCCCACCACTTCGACTCACTGGAGGTGCAGTCACACGGAGGTTGGGGGTCAGCCAGCCAAATGGAGAGCTGAGCTGGTGGGGAGCCTGCATTGACCTGTGGTGGGTGACAGAAGGGGAGCCATTCTACAGAAAGGGGGGCTCTGGTGGATGACATTCTGGGACTTGGCAAAACCGGCAAGTACAAGGAGCAGCAGTGACTTCAGGCAGTTGTTCCCTTCCCAAATGGGGTTGGTAGAGTGAGCCTGGCCTGGGTCATGTGAGACCCAGTAGGTTATCCGAAATCAATTTCCTAAGGCGGTGGCATACACTAACCACACTAACACAGTGAAGCCTCAGAAGTTTGACTGATCCGGAGGGGAGGTGTTGCATAGTAATACAGTACAGGCCTCAGCATCTTGACTGATCCAGAGGGGAGAGGCCATCATACACTGCCCCTGTCTGCAACTCATTAGCACACTGCAGTGGGAAGGGCCAGCGTGCTTCAGAAGAATTGTAACCAACAAAGAAAGAAACTGGGGCCTCCTGGAAGAAACAAAAAAGATGGGAAGAGGAAGCAATGACAAATAGTCCCCAGGTCCCAACCCTGAGGAACATGGACCCAGGACAGGTAAATACAAAGGAGAATGAGAACAGCAAACATGCAATATCAGACACAGTGTCAGTGGACATAAAGAGATATCTTCAGGACCTCATAGACAAGTTCAAAAGTGAAATATTTAGCCAAGTAAAGCAAGATATGAGAAGATTAATAAAAGAGATGCTAAGCACCCCTCAAGCAGACAGAGATGGAAGAAGGGAGGAACTCAAACAAAGGAGAGAACCATTTGATGAAGAATATAAAAAAATATGTAGAAGACATTAAGCAGATTCAAAGAGATTAGCAGGAAATTTAAAATTCTATGGAAAGATGGCAAATCTGCTTGTAAGAAACTAAGGATAGATTATCCAAACTGGAGAACAGTTTTGCAATGTGGAATTATGAAAGGAAGAACTTTTTAAAAATAACATGGAAACAAGCCATAACAATACAAAGGCTAGAAGATGACAAGAGATCTACAACTTGAGAATAAAGAATGTGAATGAGGAAGCAGGGGTACAAACAAAGGAACTACAAAGGCTATTCATAGAAATAATTAAGGAAAACTTCCCAAACATAGGAAAAGGAAATGGTATTCTGATGTATGAGACATACAGAACTCCAGCCACCTACAGCCAAAACAGAGCTATACCCAGGCATATAATAATCAAGATCTCAGAAATTCAGTATAAGAACAGAATATTAAAGGCTGTTAAAGACAAGCAACAGATAACCTACAGAGGAAGGCCCATCAGAATAATGGCAGACTTCTCGACATAAACCATCAAGTCAAGAAGAGCCTGGAGCGAAATATTCCAAGCCCTGAAAGAAAATAACCTCAAATCCAGATTGATATACCCTGATAAACTGTCTCTAGAAATTAATGGAGAAACAAAATGCTTCCCAGACAAAGAGGAACTTGGGAAATTCGCAACCACCAATCCAACTCTACAGAGAATACTTCAGGGCATTCTAGAGAGAGAGTGAAAAGTACTAGGATTCCAGGAACAGTGGCAGAGAGGCCTCAATGAATGGAGCAGAAAACAGAATGAAGAAGATAAGCAGACAGCTGATGGCAAAAAAAGAGCATAACAGAAATGAGGCAGAGAAGGTTGGTTATAATCTCTAATAATAGATGACCTTGATACACTAAATTTAAAATAAAAAAGAACCACATGTGGAGTAGAACAGGAGGCAGGGTCCACTGAGATGCTATTTATAGGAAATATAATTAACATGAAAAAAAGTACATGGACTGAAAATCAAATGTGAGAAAACAATGCTCTATGTGACTGAGAACCAGAGAGTAATAGGGGCAACTAGACCAGTATTTGTGGGTAGGCTGGAAAGACAGGCTTTAATAGGTAAAGGAATACAATTAAAGATCAAGGCCAGGAGAGAGGAGGTTTGGAACCACTTAGGTAAATAGCAGGTTGCCCCACCCCCAATTTAAAACCAAGGGTCTTGGTCAGACCCAAAAATGCACAGTATACCCTGGGGAAGTGAAAGGGGAGGGAGAGTCTTAAAAAAGATGGCAGAAGATATTGTTAATGGTGTATCAGGATTTAAAATCCACATTACTCGCACCACTCTGCTTAGATAGATTTTATTCTTTTTTTGATAGATTTTATTCTGTCCCAGTTTATCTACTTGCATTAGATTTGAGGGCACAGACAGCTATCCCAAAAACATCAGGATATAGCACAGTAATTTCCTATTATCTTAATTCGGAGCCCTGTATGACTTACACTGTTTTATCATGACTGATCTTAGTTAAATCTGGTTTGATTGCTGTTTGGTAGCGACAAATTTTATTTAAAACTGATATATTTTTAAAAATTTTTTATTTAAAAGGAAAAAGAGAAAAAACAAAACAAAACAAAACAGTGTAAGGGTACAAGTAATACAGAACTACAAAAAAAAAACAAAAGAAATCATCAGTTAATAGATTACACATTATCATCTTAGAGATAGTTGCTCAAGTCACAGGATCAAAGCATACAAAGTGGACATTCAAACAGTGACACTGCAAACAGTTGTGTTCAGTGATCCAACCAAAAACATTAATATGGTCAGCTATTTAACACCGATAAACACACTTGCAGTTGTATCCTTTAGAGTACTTTTTTTCCTCTCTTTTTTACAACAAAATTTACACATTTTGGGTTTTATTACTCCTATAGTTCTTATTACTTTTCTTTGGAAGAGAAATCAAATATGACAAAACAAAGCTGTCAGTCAAAACCAAGGATAGACATAGCACATGATGTAAAAACAGAGTACAAGGTTATCAACAATGGTTACCATAATGCCTCTTGCTTCCTTAAAAAGAATTGTCTATCTCATTAGGTATTATAAAGTTGAACAAAACAGTAGAGAACAAGACCAATAAAACCTAAACATTGTAAACATTACAGGACTTCAAAAGAAGATAATAGTCAAACCAGAATGGGCATCATCGTGAATCTTATTGCCTTAAAAGTAGTTGCCTATACCCTCAAACTTGATACTATCGTACAAAACGGAACAGAGTCTAATCAGTCAAAACAAGATAGTGGGAGTATTACAGGACTTCAAATCAAGTTAATAGGAAATCAAAAAAGTTACTATAATATATCCTGCTAATTTTTTTTTGATTTTTTCCCCTTAATTAAAAAATAATAAAAAAAACTAAATAATTTTTTTAATGAATAAGGGAGAGATTGAGATAAAAGAGGACATAACAACATAACAATAAAGGTCAAAGCATGACAGTTTCAGCAACCTAGTGCTTCACCACCAAATAACCCGACTTAATAGTAGTTGCCATAGTGTCTTTTTCCTTGAAATATTTGAATATAACTTCGTATACTATAGCATCAAACATATCAAGACAGTGTAAAACCATTCAAGTGGATGAAAGCATTGTAGGGTATTTAGAATCAGCTAACAGAAAACAAACAATGATTTCTATATTATCTCTTTGCCTATAACAATTTTTGTTTGTATTATCACATATAATAAAATCCAGCAAGATACATGATAAAACCAATGGAGACAGAAGAGCCATAGTTTGGTGGGGCTTCAAAACAAGATGATATTAAATTAGCACTACCTATTATGATGTCTTGTTTTCTTCAGAATAGCTGTTCATTTCATCACAGGCAATAATATCAAGCAGCCCAGAATAAAGCCATTCCAATTAATAAGTGAAAACTTTATAAGGCTTCAAGGCCACATAATGTGGAGTCATGATTACCACATACTTTTATATATTTGAATCATTTCTTACACTAGGGAAACTATTTGGTATTCACACATGCGAGTTTGATTTATTTCACTTATGAGTATGGTTTCAAGCTGCGCCCATTTATTGACAAATATCTCAATGTGATCCTTCTTTATAGCTGAGTAGTACTCCATTGTTTAGAAATACCATAACTTTTTTATCCATTCCTAAGTTGATGGACACTTGGGTTGTTTCCAAGATATGGCGATTACAAATTGTGCTGCTATAAACATAAGTGCGCATATATCACTGTGGTATGATGCTTTCAGTTCTTCTGGGAATATGCCTAGAAGTGGAATAGCTGGAACAAATGGGACTTCCAATCCTAGCTTTTTGAGAAATCTCCAGACTGACCTCCACAAAGGTTGTACCAGTCTACACTCCCACCAACAGTGCAGGAGAGTTCCTTTTTCCCACAGCCTCTCCAGCATTTGTTGTTGTTGGTTTTCTTGATACTGGCCATTCTTTCAGGAGTGAGACAGACTCTCAGTGTGGTTTTAATTTGCATTTCTCTAATGATCAATGATGATGAACATTTTTTTCATGTATTTATTTGCCATTTGTATTACTTCATCTGAGAAGTGTGTATTCATCTCAGATGCCCATTTTTGGATTGGATCTTTGAATTTTGGGGGTCTGAGTTTTTTTAATTCTTCATATGTTTTAGACAAAAGTCCCTTGTCTGAGGGGGAGTTCACTAAGATCTTTTCCCAGTTTGTGGGTTTTCACTGTGCTGGAGATATTTTTTGACATGCAGAAACTTTTTAATAAGAGGTGGTCCCAGTTATTGATTCTTGGAAATATTTCCCGTGCGGTTTGAGTCCTGTTCATGAATTCTCTACCTACCGCTATGTCTTCAAGGTTTCTACCCAATTTGTCTTCCAATAGATTTAGTGTTTCTATTTTAATATTCAGATCTTTGACCCATTTAGATTTTAATTTAGTACATGGTGATAGGCATGGGTCTAGTTTTAGTTTTTGGCAAATGGAGAGCCAGTTTTTCCAACACCATTTATTAAAGAGACTGTTGTTCTTCCAGTGAACCTGCTTGGCTCCTTTATCAAAGATAAGGTGGTTTAGTGTGTTTGTAGTTGTGGCTGTATCTTCTAATCTATTCCATTGATCTTCGGCTCTGTTTTGATTCCAGTACCATGTTGATTTTACTACTGTTGCTTTGCCTCCTGCCTTGTCTTTGCTGCTTAGAATTGCCTTTGCTATTCTAGGTCTCTTCTGCTTCCAGATGAATTTTAGGAGTGATTTCTCTAGGTCTATAAGGCATATTGATGGTATTTTTTATTGGGATTGCATTGAATCTGTATAGCAGTTTTGGGAGAATGGCCATTTTCAGAATATTTCTTCTTCCTATCCATAAGCAAGGGATGTCTTTCCATTTTCTGAGATCATCTTCAATTTCTTTTTTCAGTGTATTATAATTTTCCCTGTATAGGTCTTTCACTTCTTTCATAAGAGTAATTCCTAAATATTTCATTTTTTTGCCTGCTTGTGTGAAGAGTGTGGCTTCTCTTATTTCTCTCTCTGTGATTTTGTTGTTAGTGTATAGGAATGCTATTGATGTCTGAGTATTGATTTTGTATCCAACTACATTACTGAATTTATTATATCTAAGAGTCTTCCAATGGAGTTTAGGGGGTCTTCTATGTAAAGTATCATGTCATCTGCAAACAATGATAATTTAACTTCTTCTTTTCCTATCTTTACCCCTTTTATTTCCCTCTCTTGTCTAATTGCTCTGGCTAGTACTTCCAGTACTGTATTAAATAGGAGTGGTGATAAAGGACATCCTTGTTTTGTGCCTGATTTTAAAGTAAAGGCTTTCAATTTTTGGTCATTTAGTATGTTACTGGCTGTTGGTTTGTCGTAGATGGCCTTTATTATATTGAGGTAAAGACCATCTATTCCAATTTTCTGTAAAGTTCTTATCATGAATGAATGTTGGACCTTATCAAAGGCTTTTTCTGCATCTATAGAAATGATCATGTGATTCTTACTTTTGGCCTTATCGATATGGTATATTACATTTATTGATTTACGTATGTTGAACCATCCTTGCATGCCTGGGATGAATCCCACTTGGTCATGATGTATGATCTTCTTGATGATTTGCTGCATCCTATGCAAATATTTTATTGAGGATTTTTGCATCTGTGTTCATTAGGGAGGTTGGTCTATAGTTCTCTTTTTTAGTTGGGTCTTTCTCAGGTTTTGGTACTAGAGTAATATTTGCTTCCAGGAATAACTTAGGAAGGATTACTTCCCTTTCAATTTCATTGGATAGTTTGAGGAGTGTCAGCATTAGGTCTTCTTTGTATTTCTTGTAGAATTCTGCAGTGAATCCATCTGGGCCTGGGCTCTTCTTTGTAGGTTAGGACTTAATTACATTTTCAGTTTCATTAACAGAGATTGGGTTATTCAGCAGTTTTACATCCTCTTGACCTAGCTTTGGTATTTCATATGTTTCTAAGAATCTGTCTATTGCTTCTGTGTTATCAAACCTTTGAGAGTAGAGGTTTTCAAAATAGGTGTTGATGATCTTCTGTATTTCTGTAGAGTCTATAGTGATTTCCCTTTTTCATTTCTTATTGCATGAATTTGAGCTTTTTCTTCCCTTTTTAAAAATAAGGTTGGCTAGGGGCTTATCAATTCTATTTATTCTTTCAAAGAACCAACTCTTTGATTTGTTGATTTTTTGGATTGTTTTCTTAGTCTCTATTGTGTTGATTTCTGCTCTGATTTTTATAATTTCCTCTCTTCTTTTGGCTTTGGGCTTGACTTGCTCTTCTTTTTCTAGCTGTTTGAGGTGTAGCATCAGGTTATTTATTTGTATTCGTTCTGTTTTCCTGATGTGGGAACTCAGTGCAATAAATTTTCCTCTGAGGACAGCTTTCATTGCATCCCACAGATTCCAGTAAGTTGTATCTGTATTTTCATTTTCTTGTAGGTATTGTTTAATTTCTTCTTTAATTTTTCCTGTGACCCACTGATTACTCAAGAGTGTGTTATTCAGTTTCCATATGTTTGTGGGATTTTTGCAGTATCTTTTATCATTAATTTCTAATTTGAAAGTGCTATGATCCGATAACATGCAAGGGATGATTTCAACTTTTTCATTTGTTTAAATATGTTCTGTTATATAGTCTGTTTTAGAGAATGACCCATGTACTGCTGAGAAAAATGTGTATTCTGATGTTGTTGGATGGAACACTCTGTATATGTCTATCAAGTCCATTTGTTCACAGGTGTGATTCAGTTCTGTTATTTCTTTGCTCATTTTCTGTCTGATTGATCTGTCCCTTGGTGTCAATGGTGTGTTATGGTCTCCTGTTACATTCGTGTTACTGATAATTTGATTTTTCATTTCTGTTAATAGTTGTTTTATATAACTGGGTGGTCTGGAATTTGGTGCATATATATTTAAGATAGTTATTTCTTCCTCTTGGAGTTTTCCCCTAACGAGTATGTAGTGACCTTCTTTGTCCTTTCTGATCATTGTTGGTTTAAAGTTCCCGTTGTCTGAAAACAGAATGGCTACTCCTGCTTTTTTTTAGATTCTTGTTGCATGAAGTATTGTTTTCCATCCTTTGACTTTCAGTCTGTGAGTATCCTTCTGGGTTAGATGGGTTTCCTACAGCATATGGTTGGATTTTGTTTCTTGATGCATTCTGCCAGTCTGTTTCTTTTGATTGGTGCATTGAGACCATTTACATTAATGGTTATAACTGTTATATGCTGGTTTATTGTTGACATGTTATCTTTCTGCTGTTGCATCTTTATCTTTCTGTTCTGTTTAATTATCTGCTTTGCTTAGTGGTTTTTTCCTTTGTGTATCTAAACTGTCTCTCAATAGTTTTTGCAGGGTTGGCTTGGTGATCATGAGGTTCTTCAGCTGTTCTTTGTCATGGAAGTATCGTATTTCACCATCGATTTTGAATGATAGTTTTGCAGGGTACATCAGTCTAGGTTGGAAATCATTTTGCTTTAGGATCTGGAAAACTTCACTCCATGCTCTTCTTGACTTTATTATTTGTGCTGAGAAGTCTGCTGTGATTCTGATAGGTTTTCCTTTATAAGTGATCTGTCTTTTCTCTCTGACAGCTTTTTTTTTTTTTTTCTTTTCTTTTTCCTTTTTATCGGTACCGGGGATCAAACTCACAACTGCCTGCTTGCAAGGCAGGGGCTTATGCCGCTGAGCTAAATCTGCAGCCCCTCTCTGACAGCTTTTAAAAATCTATTCTTGTGTTGGATTTCTGGGATGGTGATTATTATATGTCTGGGTGTAGTTTTATTTTGGTTATGACTACTTGGAGTTCAGTAGGCTTCACTGAACCTGATGTCGGTTTCTGATCTCATGCTTGGGAAATTTTCAGCTATTACTTCTCTAAATATCCTCTTGACATCCTTTATGTTGTCCCCTTCTTTTCCAATAATCCCTATCAATCTTATGTTGTTTTTCTTTGCGTCACCTTGCAGTTGTTGAATTATTATTTCCTGATTACTTGTTATTTTTAAAATCTTTTCTTTCCTGTTCACTAGCTACAATCCTGTCTTCAAGGTCTGAAATTCTATCTTCACTTTCATTGAGGCGGTTTTTACAGCCTTCAGTGGAGTTTTTGATTTCCTGTATATCTCTGTGCATCTGCTTTATGTATTCTGTTTGTTTCTTATATTGCTCATCTAGGGATTCTATCTTTTTGTTTAGTTCCTCCAATTTTTAAACTGTGTTTTCTTTAGATATATTCAGCATCTCTTTCATTTCATCATTTTTTCTTTTACCTGGGAGATTATTTCGAGTTTGAATTCCTTTAAAGCTTCCCAGAGTTGCTTATTTATTTCAGTGGCTATTATGTCTGATATTTGAGGTGTATGGCATATATTTTCTTCTATATACATTGCTCCTAGGGTTTCTTGAGATGGGCTGGAGGTTTGAGGTTGTAATTTGGTCTTTCGTTTTGTCATTTTCCTGTATTTCTGTGTTTCAAGTGTTATTGAAAAGCTTCCTCAGGGTCTGTTGGAAATTCACTTCTATGTTTGCATTTCCTGGGACTCTGGCACCCAGTTCCCCCAGGCCACTGGGCCTCTGGAACCCATGGCGCTCTCTGCTTGCTTAGAATTCCGCAGTCCCAGATAAGCTGGGCTCCAGGGACAGTGTGCGCCCACCTGCTTGCTTGGAACTCCACAGTTCTCTGAGTGCCGCCTTAGCAGGGAGGTGGATGTAGGAGCCTCTGATCTGCCTATCTACTTCACTGCACCTGGCAGGCTCGAGGGTCCCAAACAGGCTGGGCTTGGGGGAGAGTGTACTGGACACTTACCGCAGGCTGTGGGGCCTCTGGATGTGATGATGCTCGCCTGCTTGCTTAGAAATCCACAGTCCTCCAGACACACGGGGCAGCGGATGCAGGTGCCCCAGACCCATCCAGCTGTTCCCCCGCACCCAGATGGTGCGAGGGTCCCAAATAGGCTGGGCTCAGGGAACAGTGTGCACCCGCCTGCTTGCTTGAAACTCCACAGTTCTCCCAGCGCAGCCAGAACGCGGAGGCAGATGTAGGCGCCTGGGACTTGCCTAGCCACTTCGCTGCATGGGGAAGGCTTGAGGGTCCTGAGCAGGCTATGCTTGGGGGAGAGTGTACTAGGCACTTACTGGAGGCCGCTGGAACTGGTGATGCTCGCCTGCTTGCTTAGGAATCCACAGTCCTCCAGACTGACGGGGAGGTGGATGCAGGCACCCCAGACCTGCCCAGCCATTACCCAAAACTGATATGATTGATAGTATCAAGTGTGAGAGTATAGGCAACTACACTGAAAATGACAAGACTCTATGATACACATTCTGGTTTGATAACTGCCTGCATTTGAAGTTTTATACTATATACAAAGTTGTGTTTTTATTAATACTGTTATGTACTGATATATTCAATTATACTATGTCTGATGATATAGCCAGTTCTATTGAAGATAACATGAGACAACACAGCAACTATGGTAGAACTCCTTGTACAACGGTCTTATATGTCTTTTTCGTTTCATGTGTTTATAGGATTATGTTTTGTTTTGTCTTGCTTTATTTTGTTTCTCCTAATATAGAAAGGATAGAAATACATGTTAAGACTCATGCATGTATAGAACTGATCTTATGACACATGATGAACAGATACTTTGAAGGAAAACAGACACTAAAGTTTTTGTTGGATAGTTGAACAGAATTGGTTGCAATCTCACTGTTTGAATCCCCACTTTATATGTTCCACTTTAGTATCCTGAATAACTATTTGTAAGAGGACAATCTGTAATCAACTAGTGATTTCTTACTGTTTATTTTTTCCTTTAAAGTGTGTATTATTTCTACCCATTTTCTGTTTTGTTTAGTCTTTCTTTAAATAAAAAAAAAAATTAAAAAAAAAAAAAAGACACTACAGTACCCAGTGCTCATCCCGGAGTGTCATGATGTGAAATCCAGCAATACTATTATTCTTTGTTCAGAATGACTTTAGCATGCTTTAGTTTGTTTAATCCCAACATAAATGAAGATATGGAAAGCTGCATGTGTGTTTAAGTGTATAGGATTGACAACCATATTACTAAGTTTTTGTTGGATAGTTGAACAGAACTGGTTGCAGTCACGCTGTTTGAATTCCCATTTTATATGTCCCACTTTTGTATCCTGAACAACTATTTGTAAAAGGACAATATGTAAACATTAACTAGTGATTTCTTACTGTTTATTTCTTCTCTGAACGAATGTATTACTTCTTCCCATTTTCTGTTTTGTTTAGTCTTTATTTAAATAAAATGTTTTTTAAAAAAGAGAGAGACCATGTGGCCGCTACCTGAGATTTAAGGTAAATACTTGCTTCCAGGCCTGGGAATGGTTTAGCTATTCCTGATGGCGTGAAAGCACTTATAGAAAGAAATGCTCACACCTTAAGCTGTGGGAAGAGGCTCACAGAGCTTTTATGGTGGCCACAAAAGAAACCATTCTTTATTGAGCTGTGGGGCGTGGCTGTCAGAATGCAGAGGTGAAAACAGAAGCAAAATCAAGTTATCTTTGGGAATAGCATTGCCATGGGAATCCATGTGCCACGGTAAACTGTGGACATACTCAAAGAGGTTGAGGCAAGGGGAAGGTTTTAAAGGCAAAAGTGAGAAAGATTACAAAAAGACATTTTGGAACAATAATCTTGAGACAGTGGTTAATAACAAGGGTGACATCAGTGGGAGGTTGAATAAAGAGTTGCTGGTTTTACAGAGTGCTTCTTGTCTTTTGTGCAAGCCTGTGGCTCTGGCAGTCTTTTGTGATAGTTACTTTTGGGCAGACATGCCTAAGAATTCTTCTTTCATAACCTGCTGGCTTTGTTTTTTGTTAAGTTTGACACAAGCAATTCCATTTTGATTTTGATGTTTCGTAGGGGTTGATCTCAGTGAAAAATGAAACCCACATTTCATTTGGTGATTTGTAGAATGTAAGAGCTGAAATCACAGACTTCCTGTGTTTTTAATGAAAAAACTTAATGGAATTGATTCAGAAAGAATGGAGCCTGAAAACCTTGAGCAGGCATCCAGGTAGACTCAAATAAGTTTGAGAATCTTGAGCCCCTGAGAATCTCTGAGCCTTCCTTCCTTCCCTTCCACAGGAGGAAGGCAGCTTGCCCTCCCTCGTCTGAGGGGAAGAGCATTCCCTTGCTAAAGACAGTAATAATATAACCAGGCACCATTGCTTTGTTAAGGTGATTCTCTCTGAGACTCTCTCCAACTGTCAGTCCATCATCTCTAGATTGTATATCTAGAGTCAGATTTCCCCATGTCTTAGACTATAAAATGTGGCCTGAGAGAAGACAGTGAATACTATAAGATAGTTGCACAGTTTTACAATTTGTATCGATAGATACCTGGGGAATATGTTTGGCAATGATTAGACCAAGGACTAAAGAATGTAATGTTGAATCTGTTGATGTGTGAGCATTTAGCAGCGAGTATGGGTACAAGTTGTGGGCTCATGCAGCTATAGGGGCACAATCTGTGAGTTGATCAAAATTTGGACTCAAGGAGGATGATGGGATCTCAGAATGGGTACAATGAGCAACAAAATAAAAGTGCTAATCAGAATGTTGTGATTCATATGGAACTTCAGAAGTGGTTAACTGACAATTATATTCTTAGGGATAAAATAACCTACTAAAACATTGTTTGACCCCTCATGATAATAGAAAATATTTTTGATGATGGAAACTCAACTTTATCCTCCATAATGGAAGTCATACCTGTTTTTTTCAGTGATGGAGATTGTATCCCGGGCTTCGCAGATACTAAGACGAATCAACTTTTCACCCAGTTCCAGACCTAACTCCATTTCTAGCTCTAGAGCACCAGAATGGAAGGGAAGTAGATTTCCTTAAGAAAGGATTCTGCAGTATTGTCACATGAAACTGCTATAAATTCTCTTCCCAGCCATCTTTAAGGGACTTTCAATTATTTACTAATGAGACTATACACCTGTCTGTGAGGAATATTAGATCCTTTGCACTGCTGTAATAAAATATCATAGTCTTAGATGGCTTATAAACAACAGAAATTTATTTTGCACAGTTCTGGAGGTTAAGAAAGGTAAGATCAAGGTGGTGTTGTCCCATGAAGACTTATTTCCTCATGGACACCTATTGAGAACCACCTGGTTCACTCTCTTTGAACAGAGAGCAATCATCTGCATTTTGGCTAAACCTGGCCCTATCTCATGTACTGATGTGTACAGACCTGACTAACCATTTCCTTTTTCCTTCAGTTGGCTCTAAGCAATGTAAATAGGGCTAGCTGAGGTGCTGATGTGTAATCTTTGACTCTAGGTGACAGTTGCTGTTTCCCCACCCCATAATTCCCATCAAAACATGTTTGAGCTGCAGGGGATGTAGAACCACCACTCCAGGACTGTCAACTGTGAGTTTAAGATAAGAGGCTATGACTTTCCCAGGGCAGAAAAGTCTGCACATCAGAGCTGAAGCCCCACCCCTTAAACATTAACCGCCGTCTCAATTGTGTCATGCAGACTGGTCTGTCTGCCTATCCTTCTCTCTGTGTATTGCAGAGGTGCTTTCTATAGTACTCATATATTTCCCACCATCCTCACAGTCACTAACCCTCAAGCTACTCCCTTCTTCATGAATTAATAAAATCTGGCTTAGGCACTGGTTGAGTCCTTTGTTCTACCAAACTCTCATCTGGGCTCAGGACCTCTTGGTTCCCTATAACTATAAATATGTCTTAGTGTCTTTGTTTTTGCCATGGGTTGCATTGGAGGTGATAGATTGGGATTAACTTGCTAGAATTCCAATTATGTTTCCATGGGATTACAAATTTGAACTTCCTGGACATGAAAGGGATTTCCCTTTTTTGGTACTAGGATCAAACTCAGGGTCTTGTGCTTGCCAGGCAGACACTTATACCACTGAGCTAAATCCCTGACCTGAAAAAGGAATTTCTATAGACACCCATCTTTTTACTGTTCCCTAACATAATGGAGAGGTAAGGAATTTTTCTGGGTATTTTATGTTTTTTTTTTTTTTTTTTTTTTATAAAGCCACTAGTCCTTTTCTTTTTTTTGGTGCTGGGGATCAAACTTACAACCTCACACTTGCCAGGCAGGCACTTATGCCACTGAGCTAAATCCCCGGCCCTTGTCCTTTTCATGAAGACTCTGCCCCCAAGAACTAATTACTTCCTAAAGGCTCTGTCTCCAAATGCCATTATCTTGGGGTTAGACTTTCAGAATAAAGGGGCTGGGGATTTTGTTCAGTGGCTCAAGTGCTTGCTTGATAAGCACAAGGTCATGAGTTTGATCCCCTGTACCAAGAAAAAAAAAAAAAGAATTTCAGCATAAAATTTTAGGAGGATATTTGACATACAGATTTAATGGGATCTCAACAAAAATCCCAATGGCATTCCTTACAGAACTAGAGAAAATAATCCTAAAATTCATATGGAAAAAGAAGAAATCCAGAATAACAAAAGCAACCATGATCAACTAAAGCAAAACAGGAGGCATCATAATCCCATACTTTAAATTACACTACAAAGCTACAGTGATAAAAACAGCATGGCATTGGCACAAAACCAGACATGTGGAGCTGGGCATTGAGCATACTTGTAATCCCGGTACTTGGGAGGCAGGTACTGAGGCAGGAAGATTGCTGTGAATTCAAGAGCAGCCTGTGCTACATAAGTGAGTTCAAGGCCAGCCTGTACTAATAGTGTGGACTCCCCAACTAAATAAGAAGAAATAAAAACTAGACATGTGGATCAGTGGAACACAATAGAGGATGCAGAAACAACTCTGAATACATCCACCTAGTTGATCTTTGACAAAGGGACCAAAAACATACCAGAAGAAATGTAGCCTCTTTAACTAATAGTGTTGGGTAAAGTGGCTATCCACATGCAGAAGATTGAATCTCTCACCATGTGCTAAAATAAAATAAAAATGGATCAAATATCTAAATGTTAAAACAGAATCACTTAACTCTCTGGAAGACAAAACATGTAAAACTCAAGTCACAGGTGTAGGCAAGGACTTTCTGCAGAGAACTCCAAAGGCATAAGAAATAGTACCAAGACTCAACAAATGGGATCATTTCAAATTAAAGAGCTTCTGTAAAGAAAAGAAAGCAACATAAACAAAATGAAGAGATAACCTGCAGAATGGGAAAAAATGCCAGCAAATCTTTGGATAGATGATGCATTTATAAAGAACTCAAGAAAGTTAGACCCCAAAATAAAGGACCCAAGCAAAACACGCAACTGAAATGAACAGACACTGCTCAGAAGAAGTAAAATAGCTAGTAAATACATAAAAATATCTTCAGTATCTCTGGCCATTAGAGAAATGCAAATTTAAACAACACTGAGATTCCAGAAAGAATGCTAGCATCAAGAAATCAGATAAGGGCTGGGCATTTAGCTCAATGGCTCAAGTGCTTGCTTGGTAAGTGCAAGGTCATGAGTTTGATCCCCGGTACAAAAAAAAGAAATCAGATAATAACAAATGACAGTGAGGCTGCAAGGGAAAAGGAACCAACCCTTCTACATTGTCAGTAGGGATGTAAACTAGTGCAACCACTATGGAAATCAAGATGAGAATTATTAAAAATACTAAAACTAGAAATTCTTTTGACCTAGCTATTTCCCATGTATGTGTCTTCCTTAAAAAGCTAAAGATGTCATGTTACAGTGATACATGCATACCCATGTTTACAGCAGCACAACTCATAAGAGCTAAATCTTGAAAATGGCTTATATGTCAACAAATGAATGGATTCAAAACCATGGTATTCATACTACCTTGCCATAAAGAAGCATAAACTTGAGTCATTTGTAGGAAAATGGATACACCTGGAGGTCATAATGTTCTGTGAAATAAATGCAGACACACAGTTAAATATCACATGATTGATCTTATATGAGAAACCCAACCCATAAACAACTAAAGAGCAAAATAAAAGATAGATAATAGGAAACAGTGAGATAGATCTTTTGCCAAAAAGAAAGAGGACCAAGAAGTGGAGGAATTAGGGAGAGAAAGGGGAGGATGAACAAAAGAATCAAGATGGGTTGTGGTCCTATGCTGACTCCCCACGGGGACTGTAATCAGGGCATACTGCAAAAATTTACCATTAGAAAGAAAATAGTAACTAGAAAAAAGGAAAGTGAAAAAACTGGGGGAGGATAGAGACACCTGTTCCACTGCACGCTCTAAAAAGGTGCTGATTTCTTGAAATATAAAATACCACTAAGGCCCATCTGTCACGGCAAGGGCTTAAAGTAACCAGATTTTTTTAAAAAATAGAGTTTTGGCCAGAATATGTCTCATTATGGGTCCAGTAGTTTCAAAGAACTACCTTTGGTAATTTTCCTATCTTTTTCTTTCAGTACAGGGAGTTGAACCCAAGTCGCTGTATGTAATAGACAAGCGCTCTATTGCTGAGCTACATGCCCAGCGCTTTTAATTTGTGGTCCAGGTTGGCTTTGAACTTGCAATCCTTCTGCCTCAGGCTCCTGGGTAGTTAGCATTACAGGCATGTGCCCTGTCTCCAGCTTCTTAGCTCTAAGCAACTGGCACAGTACTCACACAGGCTGTCTAACCCGTGGAGTAAAGGGTATTATGGCAGCAAAAGTCAAGCAGAAGCTGCTTCCTTAGGAAGATAGTCAACCAAGCGTAACACTGCATCCCAGGAGGGACTTTCGAGAACTGTGTCATGAAATATGCAAGTGGGCACCTAGAACCAAAGGCAAAAGAGGTTCATTTTGGCTCATGCCTTTAAAAAGGGTCAGTCCATAGTCAGCTGATGCCAAGGCAGAAAGGGCATAGTTGGTAGGCCTAGCACAGGACACCCCCTCACCTCACGGCCGCCGGGCAGCCGGGAGGCAGTTAGAGGGGAGGAGCCTGGTGGGGGAGACACAACCTCCAGATCACCTTCCGGGGTGATCCCTTCCAGTCTAACTCCTACAGCAAGTCAACTAAGGTGCCACCCCATGAACGAATGACCTTCTAAACCACGAGACTGTTAGAGAACATTTTAGATTTAAGCTGTAAGAAGTAACAAAAGATGTGCCACTCACTCCTGTTACTCGGAAATGACAAAGATTTTAGGAACTCAATACCAAAAACCAGGGACTAACATCAAGTATGTTTTTCCTATTATAGTACAACTTCACAGGATAGTTACTCCAACTGGAATTACTATTCCAGCTATGGACTCTCTTTTAGAGCAAACTAACACGGTCCTGGTACCTGGTATGTAGATACTGAGTTAGAAACAAAACAAAGCACATGAACTCTTTTCCTCTATGAAGTTGCAGGGACCACTAGAAGTAATTTGCTTTAACCTAACATATATGTTTTTGTTTTTGCTTTAGAGTTTTAAAAAAATTTTTTATCTCCCTTGTAATCTTCCATAATGTCATCTATAAAGATCTTGAGTGTTTTGAAATCCCATAGAACATCATAGTGGTGCACCACATTGACAAATCGTGTGTGTTGGTGTCAAGCATACAACATAAAATGAGGCCAAGTCTTGACTGATGACTGGAAGGGTTACAACAAGCTACTTTCAGATTTGGTTTATTACTTAGATAACAAAAAGCTGAGTAGCAAAGGCTGACCTTGCAAGTCCTTATCTCACGTACCAATAAAAACCACATGAAAACAAAACAGGGCAATGATTTGCAGGGGGACCCTGGTTGCTAAAGAGCTGATTCTAGCAGCTTCACAGTATGTAAAACAGATTCTGTGGCTCTGTTCTGAAAGGTTGACCTAGGATTTCATACATCCTATCAGAACCTGGGAGACAACAGAAAACTATTTTATGACATTTGCTAGTGGGGACAGAGCAGTAAATAAAAGATGATTTCAAGCAAGTCTAGGACACCTCCATGTCTTGTGGGATTGTAAGGTATTCTGAGGTTCAGGTAAGCTGCTGCTCAAGCTTTTACTGCATGGGCTCCGTGCATACATGCAAGTTGCCAGGGAGTCACAGAGGTATCATTCTTCTTCAATCATATTGTTTAACAGGAAGTTAAAAATGCTTAGATGCCTTAAAAACATACATATGAGCCAGGCATGGTGGCACACACAGGAGGCTGAGGGAAGAGAATCATCTTAAGTTTGAGGCCAGGGTGGGTTACAGAGTGGGACCTTGTATCAAAAGAGAGAGAGAGAGAGAGAAAAGAAGAAGAAGGAGGAGGAGGAGGAGGAGGAGGAGGAGGAGGAGGAGGAGGAGGAGGAGAAGAAGAAGAAGAAGAAGAAGAAGAAGAAGAAGAAAGGAGGAGGAGGAGGAGGAGGAGGAGGAGGAGGAGGAGAAGGAGAAGAAGAAGAAGAAGAAGAAGAAGAAGAAGGAGGAGGAGGAGGAGGAGGAGGAGGAGGAGGAGGAGGAAAAGAAAGAAAGAAAGAAAAAGAATTAATTACAAGCTGGAGAGTGGGCACTAGATTCCATAAGGATTCAGGATTCCCCCACCTTTCCACAAAATTTCTGAGGTCTAGAGGTCTAGATTGTGCTGGGATATTACTTCCAATGTGAAATAGAGATGTTTTACCTTATATTGCTTAGTGTTATAAAAAGACAAGATTCTCGGGAAATTTTTAGATTTCAGAGACACCATATGTTATATTTGAGTAGTCAGCCTCCACCCACTGACCAGGGGACCTGTTGAACTGCCAGTGTTTTGTGGAGTCCAAAGCAAGAGAAAGTCTGAAGGAATCTAGGCGTCAGTACAAGGTGGTCTACCACATGGTCAATTTGATCTAGCACATTCTATGACATTACAAATGCATATAGCCAGTAGGGATATTTTATGGAGCCTATGCTAAGCCTCCAAAGCAGAAACACAATGCATACCGCTTCAAAGCTATTCCTGCTTCTCTAGGTAAGTTTTTATTTTGAAAGACAGTTTATGTCTTGCTACCAAGCCTTTGTTAGCTGAAGAGCTGACACTAGACCATCGAATGATGCAGTGACCAAGTTACTTATTATGAACTGAGTGTATCTGACCCTCAAACTGTAAGTTTGGGCATAAGCAGCAGTAGTTTGTCAAGTGGAAATGATAGAGAAGAGGAAGGACTTATCAGTGTCTAAAAGGTATAAGTTACATGAACAGCTGCTTCTTATACTTCCTCCAGCTCTATTGTTCCCTCTACTACTATCTGAATTTAGAACCTCAATCTATGCCTATGCTGGTTTTTACTGGAAATGCACTGCTCAGAAATTCAGCCTCAGAGACTGAGGATTTAGTACAGTGCCTTCCTTGGTAGGCACAATGTCCTGAATTTGAGTCCCACTACCAAAACAAACAAGCCCAGACCAGACACCAGGGATGGGAAACAAGCTTTACTTCTTGGTGAGGAGAGTCAGGTTGCAAGAAGTCTTACATACAGGGAGGTCAAGAATGAGTGTGGATATTTTGCAAATAAAATAGTACTTTAGTTTATAAACTTAATTTGTTTTAGAATTTTGGGGATGATGGCTGCATTTGTGTTTATGTGGAGAAGATGGCCATAGTTGCATTTGTCTCCTGATGCAGAGTTTGCAACCGGGAGCAAAATTTTGCTGAACACTTTTGTTTGCAAACTGAATTGTTTGAAAATGGAAGCACTTCATTAACGGAGGTATTACTTTAATCTTCAGTAGTAGTGTCCCATGTGAAGATTCACCAGAGCCTGTCACTGCAGAGAAGGGTCTGCAGTGGGTTCCCTACAGAGGAGGGTCCCAGTAATGGTCCTTGGACAAGATGACATATTTTTAGTCAATCTATCTCTTTCTCCAACTATCTTCATGCTGGCCTAATGAATCCAGGTGTCAGAAATGGAGGCTATGTATGGGATCAACCATATGGGTAATTATTATTGCTCAGAAATATTTTCCTAGACTTCTGCTCAGATAAAGTTTTAGTGAGAGACATGATAATTTTCCTTTCTTTTTGGAGAGAAAATTTCCGTCAAACTGTGGCACCTTGCTAGTGCAAACATAAAGTTGTCTTGCTGTAGATATTCAGATTTGTGTGGAAGGGCAGGTGCAGAGAAGCCAAGGGGTGGACTGTGTCAGTTGTTAAACTACTGACTTTTCATGATAAAGCTCATTCCCTGCAACTGTTGTGTGATGCTGGTAGGGCTCTGAAAACTTAAAATCTCCTTTGTCAGCCTTTTTTTTTTTTTTTTTTTTTTTTGGATTTTTCAAGAGTGGCAGAAAGCGGGGGGTGGGGCGGAGAATGAATGGGAGGGAGACATAGGAAGAATGGACAGGGACTCCAGTCTTGTTTGCTTGCTACTTCTCCCAGCAACAGAAGCAGACAGACCTGCAATCTGGCAGCAGGGGCTGTTACCTGATTTCTATTCTGTTGGTACTCCCAGAACCACAGGCATTATTTCCCTTCAGCACCAGCTGGGCAGTGCCCCTATCTCTTCTCAGAAGTCAAAGTCCCATTTCATTGAGCTGTTTTTCTGAATTCTGACAATCTAGGCCAGTGGTGGTGAACCTGTGGCACGCATGCCACAGTGCTCTGTTTGTATCTGTGAAAGCTCTGAAAGGTTCATCATCGTTGATCTAGGCTCTTTGCTTTGTGCCTTCAGCCCTAGGAAATTAAGCTGCTTCATTACCTAGGTCATTACATATGTCTACAGGTAACAAAGTCCTTATACCATATACAAAACAGGATAACAGTATTTGGAGATAAGCTCTGAGTAATTAAAGATGTATATTGTAGGAGCTGAGGGTATAATTCAAGGGTGGAGCATGGGCTTAGCATGCATGGATCCCAGGGTTCAATCACCAGCATGACTCAACTGCAGGGACACACACACACACATACACACACACACACACACACACACACACACACACACACATTGTATACTGTAGACCTTAGGGCAATCATTAACCTTTTTTTTCCACTTAGTGCCCCATCTCTTTTTTACATTCCTCCCATATTAATGGGGTTTGGAAGTTTGGGAACTATATTTCCCAAAATTCCTTGTGGGAAAGGTTACTAGTTGAAGCCTATGGATGCAAAAAGCACAGTTGTTTCTGATTATCTTCATTAATCATGCCTTATAAAGTCTCTGTGGAACAGAGTAATTCAGCAAATATTGGACTGTTGCTCCTAGAGGAAAGATTAGGTAAAGTTTAAGTTCCTGTAAGCCTCTGATCACAGCATTTTTGTCTACTAATCAATACAGCAATCTTATTTTGTGTGTGTTTTTGTTTAGAGATGCCTTACTTAATATGTATTGTTATTTATTAACATTGAATTCAAACAATGGCACTATGATGTGTGCCCTAATGAAGCTTTAACACGTATATTTTCTTGCTTTGTGTTTGGGAGCCCTGAGAAAGCATTTCAGCACTATGTCTGCCTGCACACCATTTTGAAAAGTGAGTTCACCAAAGGGGAAGAATAATGCACAAAAATACAATCACTCTCAAAGAAAAAACAAAAAACAGCACCAAGTGAAAAAGAGTACCTGCTTATAGCATGAGAGCTGAAACAAGAGGATCACTTTAAGGAAAAAAAAATCTCAGCTGGGAACTTATAATTGAGCTGACTCAAACTTTTCATCATTTTGGGCATGTCCATAAATGACCACGAGGTGCTGCAGGTATTCAATTTGAGTTTACAATACATTTTTCTCAGTAGCCTAATTCACAAATACGGAATCAGAATCTTTGAGAAGCAAGGGTCACTGGTATGTCCATTTCAATGTGCCCACTTACCAGGGTAGAGGAAAGATGGTAGAGAACTCCTACTTCACTTAGAATTGGCTACTATTTTTGCCAGGCTTCTAAAGGTTGCCCCATGTTGGGAGCCTGGCCGAGTGATATGAGGCCTGTGGAGAGGAGTGAAGCCTGAGCTAGATTGCCCCTCCCATCGACCGAGTGGTATGAGGCCTGTGGTGAGGAGTGAAGCCTGAGCTAGATTACCCCTCCCATCGAATAAGCCAAGATGGCACCCATTTCCTGCTCCCTAGCTAGTAAACAACACGCCCTGTGAGCTAGTCTGCCCAGCAACAGCTGACGCTGGCCAATCAGCTCGTCTTGCCTACTTTGATGTGATTGGTTACTGTGTCCATATATATGCTGGCACCACCCCTGGGGCGAACACACACACTAGGAAGAAGGATTGCTGAGGGAAGCACACAAGGAGCCGCAGGGAGCGGACCAGAGGAGGCTTCCCTCAGGCGGGGTCCGAGATCCCGGAGCAGAGCGTACGGAGAGAGAAAATAAACCAAAGGCTATCCGCCGACTACTCGTGTCGTGTGTTTTTTCCTGCCGGCCGGGATCGACACCGACATTTGGTGGCCCGTACGGGGAACTGATCACCCCCGAGACGAGGCGGACGACGCTCCAGTATTGCTCTGCAGGACAGGTGAGTAGGGGATAGACCTGGGCTCTGGGTGGCGCGCACCTACAGGGCTTTTTAGACTCCCCTCAAGCTCACGTGTATGTGGCAGGTTAGCCTCACACGGTGAGAACGAACTCCTCAGTGACAGGCATGGGCAACTTACCCACTAAGAGTTCCAAGTCACTGGTAAGAGCGGTGAAAGACCTGCTCAAGATTTCAGGCATATCAATGAGCTCCAAGACACTTACGGAATTTCTCCAACAAGTAGATGAGGCGGCACCCTGGTTCCTGCCGACGGGGCACTTGTCCCTACCTTGCTGGGAGAAATTAGGTAAGGATTTAGAAAGAGCAGAAGAGGAGCGCCGACTCCCGCTTTCGGTTCGGCCGCTCTGGGAGATGATTCATTCCTGCCTCAAAGGGGAGAGGAATGGGGCTAAGGATAGCGCCGATGGGCTCTCTCAGGCCCGCCGAGCTTTTGAAGGGGCCCGCTCGGAGTCCTCCCGAGAGGGGTCCGTCGCAGGGAGCGTGCAGAGGCGTTCGCGAGAGCGAGGCAAGAGAGAGGTGCCCCCTGCCTCGGATTCCTCGGGCTCAGATACCTCGGAAGGCGAGGACAATGAAGCAAGTGACCCCCCTAATCCCTTCACAGCCTTACGTAGAGACCTAGTCAAGATGCAGACAGACCTAGAGAAGGGAAGGAAACTCCTGAACACTCCCCAACGGAAAGTCGCAGAGCCTTCCGCGCCACCCTGGGAGGTCCCAAACGCCGGTTCCTGTGGTGAGATGGCGGCCTGGGGCCTTCCTCCGTCACCCCCCCCATGGAGGGAGTGGCCTGGACCGTCGTCACATGCAGGGCCGCCATCTTGTCTGCCTGGCGACCCGCCATCTTGTGCCCCAAAGACTGGTCGGCCATGTTACAAAGAGATACAATTTTGTGATAGGGAGGGACAGACATCTCATGGGGAGGCACCACCCTGTGAAAAAATGCCAAGGTCCCAGGGAAGGTATTTTCGCAGATGGACATTTAGAATGGAACAGATTCCTCAAGGGGCGAATGAGTATGAACAATGTGGGCTTTATCCGGTGCTCCTGGCGCAAGGCCAAGGACCCAATTACTGGGAACCACTGGAGATCAAGCAAATTAAGGAGCTTAAAAATGCGGTTGCCACATTTGGCCCTACTGCTCCTTACACTATAACAATGTTGGAGAATCTGTCTGCCGGTGGCTTTCTGACGCCCAGTGATTGGGCCCAACTGGCTAAAGCCTGCCTGGCCCCCGGGGCTTTTCTGGATTGGCGCGCCTGGTATACTGAGTTCGCCGCCGAACAGGCTGAAAAAAATGCGGCTAGGGGCCATAGAGGGCAAAATGAGGATATGCTTATGGGTAAGGGTCAGTACGCTCAAGATCAAACTAGATTCCCTCCAAATGTGTATGAACAGATACATAACATAGGCATCCGCGCCTGGAAGCAGGTGAGCAACACAGGGGCGGCCTCACAATGCCTCTCTAAAATTGTTCAGGGCAACACAGAACCTTTTGTGGATTTTGTGGCCAGAATGCAGGAGGCAGCTGATAGACTCTTTTCAGATCCGAGTGCTGCTGCTCCTCTTATTAAACAGTTAATCTTCGAGCAGTGCACCAAGGACTGCAGGGCAGCCATAGCACCCCACAAGGGTAAAAACATAGAGGCTTGGATTAAAATTTGTAGAGAAATAGGGGGGCCATTATCCAACTCAGGCGTGGCTGCCCTTTTAGCCGCCGCCTTACAACAGACAGGGCCTCAGAAGGCCAATCACCCTGGTAAGCCCAGGGGATGTTTCCAGTGTGGGGATCCCAGCCATATAAGAAAGAACTGCCCCAAGACCAGACAGGGGGAGTCTGTATCCAAGAGACAGGACTCAGACAGACGAACGGGAACCTGCGAAAGGTGCGGTAAAGGTTCTCACAAAGCAAAAGATTGTAGATCTATTTTTGATGCCCAGGGAAACCGTATTAGTGGCAGGGAGACTACGGAGTCAAAAAACGGCCAGAGGGGGCCCTCCTTACGGACGGGCCCCCACTCCCTAGACAGGACAGCACAAGATGGCACCCCCCTACAGGGGCCACCCCCGGGCCAGCAGGCGTGGACCTCTGTGTCGCCTCCAGACTCCTATTAACACCCGATATGGGCGTTCAGGTGGTTGAAACCACCTCCAAAGGACCGCTACCCGACAAGCTAGTTGGTTTAGTGATTGGACAGTCCTCTACAGCCCTCCGGGGCCTTACCGTAATCCCTGGGGTTGTAGACCCAGATTATTCAGGAAACATCAAAATCATGGTACAATCTCATGTAGGGACCATAGTAATTAATGAGGGGGATAAGATAGCACAACTTTTACTGTTCCCCAGCCTCCATGAGAGACCCCGGTCCGGTCAACGGGTTAGAGGGGGTCAGGGACTTGGCTCCTCTAGGGAAATTTTTGAAGGACTTCATATGACTCTTGATAAAAGGCCCATGCTCTCGCTCAGGGTTAACGGTAAAAGGATAACAGGACTCCTAGATACAGGGGCAGATCGTTCCATCGTCTCCAAGAAAGACTGGCCTCCTAGTTGGCCTACCAACACAGCTGACAACACGCTCCAAGGACTGGGGATAGTGGCTGCCCCCCAGGTTAGTGCCGTGACCCTGCCTTGGGGTGATGAGGAAGGTCACCGAGGACATTTTCAACCTTTTGTTTTGCAGCTGCCAGTATCCTTGTGGGGAAGAGACGTTCTCACCCAGATGGATGTCACTCTTACATCCACCTGCTCTCCCCAAGCCAAAGGGATACTCAAAAATCAGGGATATGTCCCCGGCAAGGGCCTGGGCTCAGCCCTGCAGGGCCGGACATCCCCCGTACCTGTAGAAAAAAGGGAAGGTAGACACGGGTTGGGTTTTTCCTAGGGGCCACTGAGAAACTTCTCCTGCCCGCTCCAATTAAGATTACCTGGAAATCTCAAAATCCAGTTTGGGTGCCTCAGTGGCCCTTACCCAAGGAGAAGCTTTTAGCATTAACTGAGATAGTCAAAACCCAGTTTCAGGCGGGACACGTAAAGCCGTCAACCTCCCCTTGGAATACCCCTGTCTTTGTCATCAGGAAGAAGTCAGGCAAGTGGAGGTTGCTCCATGATCTAAGGGCTGTCAACTCACAGATGCAACCCCTGGGGGCGATCCAGAGGGGACTACCAGCCCTCTCAGCCATCCCTCAGTCCTGGTTAGTTTACGCCATAGATCTTAGAGATTGTTTTTTCTCAATCCCCCTACATCCCGAGGACACCCACAGATTCGCCTTTACCCTACCCACCATTAACCAAGAGAGTCCTGATCAGAGGTACGAGTGGGTTACATTACCCCAGGGTATGGCCAACAGTCCCACCATGTGTCAGATTTATCTTGATTTTCTACTGGCCCCCTTACGTGAAGCCTTCCCCAGAGTTAGGTGTATTCATTACATGGATGATCTGCTAATCAGTGCAAAAGATATGACTGAGTTGGAGGATATGCTAGGCCAATTGGTCAAGGCCCTGAGAAAGGCGAATTTACATATTGCCCCTGACAAGATTCAGGGAGGAGACATAGTGACCTACTTGGGCACCAAAGTCTCCCCCACATCGATTTCTCCACAAAAGGTAACCATCAGAACAGATAGTCTGAGGACCTTAAATGACATGCAAAAGCTACTGGGAGATATAAACTGGATCAGACCTTATTTACACATCCCTAACTCGGACTTAAAGCCCCTGTTCGACCTCCTGAAAGGAGACTCGGATATTGCCTCCCCCAGGGAGTTCACCCCGGAAGCCAGAGTTGCTCTGAGAAAGATAGAGGAAGCCCTAAGTACAGCTACATTGCGGAGAATTGACTCAGAACAGCCTTTTGAGGTCTGCTTGTTGCAGACCGTTTCTCAACCTACGGCAGTGATTTGGCAAAAGGGACCACTTTTGTGGGTGCACCCTAAGGTCTCACCTGCCAAGATTATCGAACATTATCCGGAAACAGTCGCTTCCCTGGCCTTGGAGGCACATGGCAGGGCTATCCAACATTTTGGCTCTGCACCCCATGCTATTCGGGTACCTTATACCGCTTCTCAAATAAAAATCCTGACTGCTTGTATAGATACTTGGGCCATCCTGAGATGTGTTTTTCTTGGGGAGATAGACAACCAGTTCCCCAAGGACCCTATACTACAGTTTGTTACTCAACATCCGGTGATATTTCCAAAAATCACCGCGTCCACACCTCTTACTCCTGCAACGACAGTCTATACGGACGGGTCAAAAACCGGGATAGGGGCCTATGTGGTCTCAGGTATGCCCCCGATCAGCATACAATTTGAACCAGATCAACCACAAGTGGTAGAGTTACAGATTGTACGAACCGTCCTTGAGAAGTTCCCAGGAGCCCTTAATATTATCTCTGATTCAAAATATGTGATCAATGCCGTACAGGTCCTTGAGACTGCAGGCCCGATTAAGCCAACCTCCAAAGTGACTAATTTGTTTTTGTCCATCCAGACTCTGCTTAAAAATAGGCACAACAAAATATACATCACTCACATAAGGGCACATACACGCCTACCAGGGCCCATGGTGCAGGGCAATGTGGCTGCTGACGTGGCCACTCGCCCGTTGTGGATACTCAATATGTTATCTTCAATAGAACAAGCCCGTCTGTTTCATGACAGATTTCATGTCAACGCCAGGACCTTAGCCAACCAGTACCACATTTCCAGGGCTGACGCGCGGGACATCGTACGGTTATGCGGCTCTTGCGCCACATACACACCCGCCGTATCAACGGGAGTTAACCCCAGGGGATTGATTCCTGGCGACACTTGGCAAATGGATGTCACACATATGACGGAATTCGGATCTCTTAAATATGTTCATGTCTCTACGGACACCTGCTCTCATATTATATTCGCGACTGCTGAAACAGGCGAAAAGGCGTCTCATGTGATTAATCATTGCCTGACAGCTTGGGCCGCATGGGACAAACCAAAAATATTAAAAACTGATAACGGACCAGCTTATACAAGCAAAGCCTTTAATGAGTTCTGTGAAAAAATGGGGGTACAGTTGAAACATGGCATCCCATACAATCCCCAAGGTCAAGGAATTATTGAAAGGGCTCATAGGAGCCTTAAAGAAATTCTACAAAAACAAAAAGGGGGAATAAGTCAGGGCCTGCCCCCAAAGGCACGGCTCTCCATGGCATTGTTCACATACAATTTTCTGAACCTGAACAACAACAATCATTCCCCGGCTATGGAACATTGTAATCCATCTCCTGGCAATAGGGGATGGGTGAAATGGAAAGATGTCCTGACGGGACAATGGATGGGCCCGGATCCAGTAGTTAGCTGGAACCGAGGTGCGGTTTGTGTTTTCCCACAGGAACCAGGACGAGAACCATTGTGGGTCCCAGAGCGGCTGACGCGCGTGGCGAATCCAACGAAACACAATGCAGGAGACACTCCAAAACTCAACGGCAGCGGACAGCCTGATCAAGATCGGTCCGACCAAGATATTGCTGCTTGACCGAGGAATACCGTATGACTTATGGGACACAATAATGATTATGCTCTCGATGGTAATTGGCTCTCTTTTAGGGTACGGTGCAGCCAGAGTGGCTAGGCCACGCCGCCTTCCGGCAGCCCCCTTCCTTCTGGCTTTGATGCTCACCACTACTACTGAAATAGGAGCAGACTTGGTGTGGGCAGCAATACATCACCCGCCAGCGCTAGCCGCTATTTCCACTACAGCCCCCTCTCTCCCAAAGTTGTATGCGAAAAACTGCTCCGCCAGATTGCCTTGCATACCAGATATACCACTGACCATCAGACCCATACGTTTTGACCTTCCCATCACTAATGATGTGGTCATTTTTTCCACTAATAGTAACCCCTCGTGTCATCGGGGATCCTGCGTTAGCTTCCTGCCCCTCCTTGTAAAGTGGTATAATACCTCCCTGACAGTGAGGTTGTCTGTCCCATCCCTGCATTCGCCTGGATGTTTTAAAGCCGGCCTACTTAGCGGCAGAGTCATCACTTTTAACTCAACCTGCAAACCCCGAGCAGCCATGCACACCCGTCCCGATTTCCCCACATGCCCATACCGTGTGTCCCCAAGCCGAAAAAGACAGATGGTGGACCTGTCACAACTTTCATGGCAGCCCTGTACTGTCGACGGCGTGGGAGTGACTCATCTAAACATGTCTTGGTGGTCCCGGTTTTCTCCTCCATCCGGTAGTAACAACATATTCGCGCTGACCTGGTGGGAGTCCTACCTGAGAGTGAACAACAGGTTGGCAATAAGTTTCCCCTTCCCCCTTAATGAAAACTGGTTGTGCCTTTCCACCGGAGCCTGCATGGACTTAAGACCCATGCTCGCTATTAACGCTTCTGCCTCTAATGGAACCACCAATGTCACCCTTAATTCTGAGGCTGCATGCGTAAAACCGCCCTACTTGTGGGTATTCTCTGTTGACATCACCTTCAGATGCAGTAACCAACCATGCTTTACAGGGAACTGCTGGAATGGGTCTTTCCCGTATGCTATGTTGGCTCTTCGACCCCCACTGATGTGGGTTCCCTTTAACGAATCTGTTTGGGTTCATCCCGTCTATCAGCAGGACCAACTACCCGTGCTCAGACGTAAGAGAGATTTTGGGATCACAGCGGCCCTGACAGCACTGTTCGTGACTCTGACTGCGACGGCTGTGACGGCTGCCGTTGCTCTGACCCAGTCTACGCTGACGGCTCAGGCCTTTGCCAATCTTACAGACACCACCTCCCTGGCGCTGAGGGAGCAACAAGAAGTTAACCTCCTCCAGCACAACGCCATAATGGCGTTACAGCAACAAATCGACCTAATCGCTCAGGAAGTCCAGGGACTCTGGGAGGTGGCTAACAATTTGTGTGACGCCAGATGGGCATTCACCCAGTTGTGCGTTACCCCCATCCAGGTCAACCGTTCGGCTTACAGGCAATTTCAGGATTATGTTCTTACCACCTATAATTCTTCCTTTTGGAATGCTAGCGTGCGCCTGGATATGACTATCCGACAGCTAGATCAGATAGAGGTGCCTATACTTACAGCCTCCTTTTTTGATGATGTCCTAAGCCAGATAGGCTCCTTCTTCAAACCTTCGTCACTTCTTGCGTATGGGATCATTCTTGCCCTCATGGTTGTCACTCTCGTGACTCTTAGGTGCCTGCGGTCGATAAGGGCGACCCAGAAGACACATATGACATTGATGATGTTGCTGGCCCAGAGTCAAGGGGATTCCACACCTAGCGTTTTCTGGGCTCAGGCTAGAAAGGCACGGCTCCTTTAACAAGTATGTGGCTGCCCTCGCCATTATTCTTACGGATGTTCTAGTATTATTACGTACGTCTCCTTCCCCGTCGCGGCTGCGAACCTAGACTAGAAGGGCCCCACGCTTAAGACGTGTTCCCATTGATAATTAGAAAATAGTGATTAGCGATTGTAGTGAACGGGGATTATGGTTGGTAATTAGTGATTACGCGGTTCCTCAAATGTCACTCGGCGGACCCCTCCGTGTCTCCCCCAAGATATCAGCTTTAAGAGTTGAGTGGGCAAGCCAACGACGGGTAAGACGGGAGAAATTCTCCTGATCAACCTAAGACAGGCTCCACTCCAAGGGTCCTCTAGGGAGTGAGAGTTATGGCATTGAGATGCGAGACCAAGGGTACTGCAGTGCCATCCGCCTCAAGGGTTGAGGGGAAGGCAGGAATGAATGTCTATATGCATCCAGGTTCGGTTCACAAAAGCCTGGCCCTGCGAAAAAATGAACCACTCACCTTGAGCATGGTCCTGGCGCAAGGATATGCACGAGACAAGGTGATGCACAGCAGGGTATAGACCTCTACATTCTCTCATGCCTCGGCCTACAAAATAGGCCCACTCTCAGACACCACACATGGACCCGCACACCGCACTATCTTAATAAATAAAGAAGGGGGAGATGTTGGGAGCCTGGCCGAGTGATATGAGGCCTGTGGAGAGGAGTGAAGCCTGAGCTAGATTGCCCCTCCCATCGACCGAGTGGTATGAGGCCTGTGGTGAGGAGTGAAGCCTGAGCTAGATTACCCCTCCCATCGAATAAGCCAAGATGGCACCCATTTCCTGCTCCCTAGCTAGTAAACAACACGCCCTGTGAGCTAGTCTGCCCAGCAACAGCTGACGCTGGCCAATCAGCTCGTCTTGCCTACTTTGATGTGATTGGTTACTGTGTCCATATATATGCTGGCACCACCCCTGGGGCGAACACACACACTAGGAAGAAGGATTGCTGAGGGAAGCACACAAGGAGCCGCAGGGAGTGGACCAGAGGAGGCTTCCCTCAGGCGGGGTCCGAGATCCCGGAGCAGAGCGTACGGAGAGAGAAAATAAACCAAAGGCTATCCGCCGACTACTCGTGTCGTGTGTTTTTTCCTGCCGGCCGGGATCGACACCGACAGCCCCAGATTTACTAGGGTGTTAAATTCTGAGTTTTGAGAAAGTGTCTCCCAGTTAATAACTTGTGTGTCCAGCCTCAAATCCTAGCTTCCTTGAAAATCCAATCCCAAGCATATTTTCTTGACTTCTGTCAGTACTTACTGGCTAATTCTTGCCACTTAGCCATACATTTTCCCCCTTGACCAGCCTGGTGTATCCCCAGTTAGTTTATTCTGGAATTTAACCTAATTTACCATCTATCTAGACAGTGGCAACAGCACAGCGTGGGTGGCAGATCTGTTGCCCATGGGGAGGGGATTCTGTGGCCTCTTTCAACACAGTGACAACTCTAGTTCTAACAGGAATCTTTTGCAAACACTGTGCTAAACTGTGCTTGCCAGAAGGCACACAAATGTTTACTATAGGTAATGTTTCTTTAGCTCCTATTAGGTGTCAAGCTTTCTTCCACATATCATCTCATGTCATTCTGTCAACAACCTGTCTGAAGTGGGTGCTACTTTCATTATGGTTGTTTTTCCTCAAAGAAACAGGCACAGAGAGGTTAGGTGAATTGCTCATGTGTATGGAGGTTGGTGCTGGCTTAGACTCAAGGAGTCTCTCTTTAGTTTTTGTGCTTAGCTCCTACCCTGCACATTTCTGAATCCAGAGGCTCTGAGCTGAACCATCCAACCATGTAGTCTTTGATTCTCTTTAAGCAAAAGAGTTAAAAATATTTTCATTTACTTTGCAATACTAGGGATTAAACTCAGTGTCACATGGATGCTAGACTCAGCCACTGAGCCACATCCCCAGCCATTTTTGAATTTTATTTTGAGACAGGGTTTTGATAGCCTTGAACTTGTGGTCCTCCTGCCTCAGCCTGTTATAACAGAATACTCTTTGGTAATACTGTTTTCTTAACACAAAACAGTTGGCATTTCCTTCAGAGTTCACGCTGCATTTAAAGCCTTAGAAATGATTTCATTTCTATTAACTCATTTTTTCTTTTTTCTTTTCTCATTTTATCAACTTTGGAGATCACAGTAATGAAATCTTTCCATACTCTGATGTGCATGCATGTTGAATTTGAAAATTGTCAAAATGATGTTCTATTTTTTCTGTGTTTCCAAGAAGCATTCAGAGTAGGGCAGGTATCCTACCTTCTTTCTAGGGGAGGGAGGCGGACCACAGTTTCCTGGTTCTAGACTCCAAGCCTTCACACACGTGGCTTCCACAGACCCTGTAGAGCAAACGATGCCTTCTCTGTGCTCATCTCATCATGCCTGGCACAGAGTAACGGGTCCAGATGCAGGGAGACAGGATCCAGACTCACTCCCCAGCATTGCCCTGGAGTGGTCTTGGGCAAGAAGGATCCTTCACCTGGTTGGGCCTAACTTCTGTGCACAGCAATGAAATAAAGTTGGGCCGAGGATCCTGAGATGTCTTCCAGTTTTGACGTCCTGTGCCTTGTACCTACCTCTGAGTCGTAAAGAATGGGCACTAAGGTGATATCTTACAAAACCTTTTTTTGTGGAAAATGCTAAATTCTACCTAGAGATTTAAGAGGGAAATTGGGCAAGGCCTGGATGGACTGAGGGGAGTAAAATGCACAGCTATTTCTAGACAGGGAATGGGCGTGGCGGGTCGCTGAGCTCAGTGTGCAGGCAGCGGAGCATCCCTGCAGGTTGACAAGGCATCCCCGGGTTAGCACTAAGGCCAAGGCCCGCTAGTAATTCCGCTACAGCGGCTGCGCACTGGCGCGACCAGCTGGCCGATTTGCGTGTCTCCGCCCCTGAGACGAGCTGGTTGGCGAGGGCTGGCCTGGTGCCGTACGCCTATTGGCTGTGCCGCCCGCTGCTCAAGTCTGGGAGCGGACCGTTCCTACTGCGGCTGGGCACCCGATCGGCTCCCGCGTCGGCCCGAGCTCCAGCTGCGCCCGGCCTGACACCGGTCCGGCCCGGCTCGGCCTGGCCCCAGCCTCCGAGCGAAGGCGCCGCTGCCTCTGGGCCGCTTCCAGGGCCATGAGGAGGCGTCGGCAGCCACTGCGGCCCGCGTCAAGGTGACCGGCCGGGACTGCGGCGGCGGCCAGAGAAGCGGTGAGAGGACCAGCCAGCCGCCGGCGGGGCGGGCCGGGGCGGGCCCTGAGGGCCGGGCCGGAGGGAGCTGCAGGTGCGGGGGGCGGGACCCGAGGGCCGCTGGGGCCCGGAGGGAGGGGCCTGGTTGCGGGAGGCGGGGCCGGAGCCAGGGCCTGGGATTTTGCTGGCGAGTTTCGGGTGCGGGGGGCCTGAAGGTGCCCTGGTCCTGGGGGGTGTGGAGATCTGAGGGTAGGGGTGACGGCGAGGAAAGAGCGCGGGAGGGAGCGGGGCTGGAGGGGCCAGTTGGGCGGGGTCGAGGGGCCGCAAGTGCAGGGGGCGGTGCCAGGAGCGACGGCAGCTTTGACAGTAGGAGGGAGCTGCGAGGTGAGGTCAAAGCGGCCTGCGGGCCAGGGCCCGGGGAAATCGCAGGTGCAAGGGGCGGGGCCGGGAGACCTGCAGGGGCGGGGGGCGGGGCCCCGAGTGGTGCAGGTCGGGAAGCTGGGCCGCTGGCAAAGTGCGGCCGAGGGTGAGTGGTCTCCGCAAAAGGGGAACCGCTCCGCTGTCCAGGTATCTCGGCCGGGAGCAGGAGCTTTGGGCTGTGCGGATTTTGGAGATCTCCGGGGTTGCCGCTAGAGGGGCGGAGCGGGCCTGCCAGTGTGCCTCGCTGAGCGGGGCTTGGATCTCAGCTGCCCTGGTTACTGGGCCGGCTGCTTCCCATTCCCAAAGTGGGGCGCGCTGTGTTTTTACTCCTCAGGGGGGTTTTCCCCGTGCTGTTGAGGGGGCATGCCTAAATTGAGGGCTGGTTGGCTTACATTGGGTGATTGTGTTTCATTGGATGATCGGCTCTTAGAAAATGTGTGTGCTTGAAGAGTAGTTAGTGTGAAGCTTGGAAGCGTCCTGGATTGTTGTTTCTTGGTACCAGATGCTGTTTGCAAATCTGCACAGTGCTAGTTTCAAAAAGACTGAAATGGCAGCCTGGTGAGGGGCAAGAGGAGGAAGAATTCAGAAACTTTTGCTCTTTGTTATCTGGGAATCCTTTGACTTTTTGAGATTTGTTTCTTCCTTTGCAAAATGAGTGTCCTGCTGCCTGCCTGTGTTTCTCTCAGGGGCCCTGTGAGGATAAGATGAACAGAGCTGCCTGGGAATATCGTTGGCTAAAGTTTTGTCTTCCTTCTCTCATGAGGATGAAGTTACTCTCATGAGGATGAGACCGTGTCTTGATTTGGGATCCAGGAGTCTAAAGGGGAGGGGATTATTTATCAAGGAGTGAGGTCTAGACACTTTCTTGACAGAGTTTGGGGTGAAGTTTGTGATAGGCTCTCTCCAAGACACCAGTGGTGGTTTGGATCCTTGGTTGCTTCTCCCTATCAAGTCTCCAAGGAGCCCCAGCAGCACAGGGAGCAATGGCAGATGGAAAGTAGAGAAACATTTTATTGTTTGCTGACCCTGAGGCCCCAACCCCAGCAAGGACTCTTGACTTGTCTGTGAGGCTTGCACTGGATTCCTGTGGGATTCTCCTTCCCCTATCCAAGCACGCACCCTCCATTTTACCACATTCACACAAAAAGAGAAGGGTGTGCCAGACTTTTGTTGGGGGCAGAGAGAAGAAAGTAAGATGATGTCTGCCCTTAAGATCCAGAAAAGTGTTCTACACACATACGTGACTTTTCCATGCTCAGTAACTCTTCTCACTAGCAGCTGACCAATCTCACCCATAACGCCCCCTCTCTGTGTTGTGTGAACAGAAGAGAAGGTGGCAGAGCCTTTCCTGCTGGCCTGCACTATTCTTCCCTATAGAAGCTATGAGAGTTTTGGGGACTAAAAACCATGCTGTTGGCCTCCTGTATTACCACTGGTGTGGTGGTGACCCAGTGGCATTGTGAGGGTGGCATCACAGGACTAGTCCTTATAGAGCTAGTGCTTAGGTGACAGGCTTCAGGGGGTTGAGAAGTTGTCCCACACTGTCCTGAAAGAAATAAGTAAGTGGCTGTTAGAGATTGCTGTCCTCAGAGTGACCATTATGTCTCAGACATTAAAGGGAGTCCAAAACTTTGTAGTAGTCAAGAACTAGCATACTGCCTAATGAGCTGATTGGCTCCCCTTGCCAGTTTCTTACCTTCTCAAGAGGGTTGATTTCCATATTTGTACACTGAGAATATCCATGGCCGCCTTGTGAGGTCGTTGTGAAGAGTAAGTGAGGTAAGATATTTGAAAGTACCTGATCTCCTTGGCAATCACAGTTAGGGTCCTTTTATTTTTCTATCCCTTTCCCTACCTTTCCCGAATAGCGTGTCGAGTGTAAGCAGAGCAGGACTGGAATCTCTGGGGTCTTACGTGACTTTGGACAAGTCTCTTCTCTCCAGGTATCAGTTGTCTTAGCTAAGTGAGAAGGGTTTTAAACTACATGATTCTTAGGTGTCCTAGTTCTGGCTTCTGATTAGTATGGTGCTATATTTTCCCAAAAAGTAGGAGGTGGAAACTGATGACCTGTGGTTTAGTTCCTTTTTAGAAAACACCTGTTTAGACTGAGCGTGGTTGTGCACACCCATAATCCCAGCACTCGAGAGGCTGAGGAAGAAGATTGTTGAGAATTCAAGGCCAGCCTAGACTACATAGTGAGTTCAAGTCCACCCTGAACTATGTATGGAGACCGTGTCTCAAAGAAACAAAACAACAACAACAAAAAAACCTGTTTAGCACTTTGGTACATGGTAGGGGCTCATTAAATGCTTGTTTAAGGAACTGATAAAGGCTTTTCATGGGGAAGATATGGCAAATGTCCATACTGCTTATATGTGTATTGTGTCTGTTCCTCAAAATGTATTTTACTTATTGCACCAAAATATTTTCACAGCATTAGTGGAGTTAGTGAATTTTGACATGAATGATAGAATTCATCACACATTCATCCAGTTTCTGTTTAGAAACAGGCATAAATTTTCATGGTTGCAATTGTGTGCGTGGACATTTGGGAAAGGCCTTTTTAACTAGTACTTTTAATTTTATTTTTTAAAGTAAAATCACATATGGATTATTTTAAAGCAAGTAGGAGAATCAATTACCAACTGTCTTTTTGTTCATAATGGTTTTTCCTAGGGGCAACCATTATTACCAGCTTTTTGTTTATTATATATATCTTTTCTCTTACATAAACAGTAGCATTCTATGTACACTCTTTGGTCCTTCACCTATTAACCTAATCTATTTTGAAAGCTGTCCCAACATTGGAAAGTTGGTACACTGAGCTCCTCCTTGAAAAATGTTTCTGACTGATGCAGCAACACATTTTTGCATCTGTGCGTTGCCCTCCCCCATGGTGTTTACCCTCTGCTGGTAGCAGTCATTGTTTAGAAGACTAACAAGAAACATCTTTTCTTCTCCTCTAGGAGAGAGAAATGGCTTCGGTCCCAGTGAACAGTAGGTTAAAAGGCAGTCCATGTGTCTAGATGTGAGGCAGAGGCTGAAAGAGAAAGGAAAAGGATTTGTTCGCTGGTAATTGAGAACTGATTTTCCATTCAGCCTGTGATTCAAAGGGCAGATCTGTCATTTACTAGCTGTGTAACTTGGGACAATTTATATAATCTCTCTGCATCTCAGTTTCCTTACCTGTCAAATGGATGATGATGCTGAGATCTGCCTTCAGAGGCCCTGTCCAGAGGAGACGAGCTCATGGATCTCCGTAAAGAACATGCTGCAGTAGCAGGTGGTGCAGGTGCTTGGGAAGGGTGAGTCCCTCTGGTGCCACTCCACTCACCTACAGCAGGCTCCATTCCTCATCAGCAGGTGTCTACTGGGCAGTTAAGGGGGAGCCATGGAGAATGCCTTGTTTCTGCTTTGAGATGTCCACAGGCTGTGTGTGGACTGGCACACGAGCTGCTGGTTACAGAGCAGTGTGGTGGGCCTGGTTGTGAGACTGAGCAGTAAGTGAGGTCACAGAGGCAAAGAACAGTTACTTCTCCCTGGGCGATTTGGGCCTAGCTCCTCAGCCCCTGCTTCTCCTTCTTTGTGAAGCCTGTTCAGTTCTTCCAGGGACAAGTGGTCTCCGCTCCGACTTGTCCTCCTTTGACTGTCATTGTGTGCATACCTTGTCATGTCATGGCATACATGCCCTTATACGTGTGTCTCCCTGCACAGGGGATGTCTCCCTGTCTTTGCCGCCAAATCTCTGGGGCTCTGTGAAAGGTGGGCTTCTGGCAGGCAGGATAACTGATGATGGACCAATCTTTGGTCAGATGAGTCATGCTACCAAACATTGCATACTCTTATGAAACTGTAAGTCAGGAGTCTCTGGTGAAACCTGGTCTCTGAACTCTATTCCTTTGCTCCCCAAATATTTGAGTGCTGGCTCTGAGTCAGAGATGTGCTATGTCCCATCTCGGCAGTGTGCTTTTGGTGTGACTTGCAACACTTGTGCTGCAGAGATGGGAGAGGAAAGAAATATTCTGTGTTCCCTCCAGGTCAGGATGGAGATGGAGAAAAAATGACAAGTCTAAAGATAAGCATAAGCAGTGCATGCTTGCTGAGGTCCCCCCCGCCCTCTTCTGGGCTGGGCAGTGAGGAGCAGATCCAGGGAACTGAGGAGGTGATCTGTACCTGGTGGCTGTGGATAGGAGAGAGTTGGTTGGATCTGCTGCTGTGGGGCTGTTCACAGATCAGGCTCCCTCGACTGGCATCGTATTGTGCCCCTGGATCACAGAGAGGAGGCGTAGGCATCCCTTTCTTCAGGTGGGCAGGCACTCAGTAGCACTGCTGGGCTCCTGCGTGGGCTAAACCGTGTACTGGATGCCCGGCATATAGAGATGAAGGCTCTCCATTCATGTCCTTGGGAATTCATGTTGAAGAGAAGCCACACCCAAAGGGAAGGTGACTGAAGGGACTGGCTATAAGAGAGGACCTCAGATAAAGTGGCCATGTAGATCAAGGCCCTGAAGCAGGCAGCTCTGTGTTCAAATTCTGATGTCACACATGTGTGTGATAATGGGTTTCCCTGTTTTGTAAAATGGGGTAATGCTGTTACTTAA